ATGCCAATAATCACGGCAATCATGTAAAGCCAGGCACAATTTTTTACAGTTAATTAGTTAAAGTTTTAATTAGTTAAACAGGTTGCAATTTTGTAGTAGTTCACTTAGCCTGATGATTTTTTAACCGTGGATAAATAAGGTTATTTTTGTTGTTGTTGTTGTTGTTGTAGTTCCGCCTGAAGGCTATGCCATACTGTCACAAGTAGCAGTAACAAACTGAGAAGAAACTACCTTTATTTTTAGTGCACGCGAAACAATGCCTGCTATCTGGTTTTTGTTGTTGTTGTTGTTGTTTTGTTTTTGTTTGTTTGTTTGTTTGTTTTCGGTTAATTCCGATCCTGCTGACTATCTCACATAGCACTTGTACATTGTAAGTACATTTGCATTAAGCACCCCAAGGAAATGTGCCATTTTTCTTTTCACAGCAGATTTTCCACCCCTCTGACGACCATTAATATCTGTGGTGTCATGCGTTCGCCTTTACAAATTGTCGTTGTGGTCGTAGCAGGGGCATTTGTCCTGTCACTCCTTATGCTCTATTATACAAAGAAGGATGAACATCAAGAAAACTTTCTTTATGACGGTGCTGCTGATGAGAAGCAAGGTCAGTAAGTGCAACATTTGATGATAGCGTGCGGTAACAGCAGCAATTAGCAATTATTGAATTCGGCTTTCGTAGAATATGAAGAATTCTGCAGATCGAAGAGGGTGTTATCCACCTCGGCCTCGATCTGCAAAATTCTTCATACCCTACGAAAGCCGCGCGAATTCAATAACTGCTTTATTATTCACTCAAAATAATTCCAAGTTTAAAAACAAGTTTAAACATTGCTTACCTCCGTCGATCGATGTTAAGTTCATATCGATAGTGCATCTTTATCGGGAGGTTTAGGGGATTAAAGGATGTTCAGGTCTGCAAATATACTCCAAATAGTAGAGGTCGTCCGTCGAGTTGTCTTCTTGTGGTTCTTGCTATGTTTTTTAGACAATAGTTCGCCGTGAAACGAGTAAAGAGTTCCGCCATCACTCAATTCGAAAACAACTCAAACTCGTCCCCAGGTCTTCTCGGTTAAGGGGTCAATAATGTGCAACCTTCCTGCCACTTTTGACGTTATCGGCTCAATATGGCAAAATTCTTTCAAATTTGGTCAACAGTATGGTAGGTTATGATAAATTATGCGTGCGATTTTAGCCAATCACAAACGGAGAAATATTTTGAATGAATAATAACAAGCTTTATTTGCATGATCATCCAAGTACATACAGTATTGCAAAAGCTATTTAAAGAATATAAACTAAAATTTCATGACAGGACAATTAAGCTACTTTTTTAATAATTTTTCGCGAAAAACAAAGCAAGTAGAAATTTGGGTTGTGAGCCAGGGCGGGTTAATTTAGTTAAAATTTTGAACGTTCAATAACATCGTCGTCATCATTATCGTCAGCGAGCTTAAGCAAAGAGGTCTTGAGCGACGCAGGTCGACCGGAAGTGGACCTCTTGTTTCCTTAGACAATGCTTTTGCCAAAATGTTAGAGAAAACTTCTCAATAAGAGAATAAGGCATTTTCCAAGACCAATTTGTCAGCCTTTTCTTAACCTACCTATTCACGTTCGCAAACAGGATATTGTGTTTTCATTGTGCACTCTGACTGGCTAGCTTGGGGGAGGAGGGGATTTTTTTTCACTTATCGTTCTCTGTTTGGGTCCCTAATCCGTTCTAGCTCAGGGTAGTGCTGGTATATATACCGTATTTATTCGATTAACTGCCCTGGGCGCTTGTTAAATTTTTGGACCTTGAAGGTGGGCGCTTATTCGAGGCTGGGCGCTTATTAAATTTTCACCATTTTCAGCAAGTGAAGTATGTTTATTTTGCAACAAAACAATAAATGCTAATAACAAAACGCGAAGAAGTAACGAAGCAATGTTTCTGTAAAATACTCTGAAGGAAACTCCGTCCTCGGGGAAGTCTCTTATAAGAATTTATTCAGTCAAGTGGGTGGGGTGGGGGTAAGCGCTTATTTGAGTTTGACTGGGAGGAGGAGGGGGTGGGCGCTTATTCGAGGTGGGCGCTAATTCGAGGTTGGGCGCTTATTCGAATAAATACGGTAGGTGTGCGTGTTAGGGTAGTTAGGCGATAGTGGTAACCGACCAGCACAGTGATACCAGATTCTTCTAAAGAATCATATTACCAATTTCATCAACTAGCTGAGTTTGTTATCATTAAAGCTACTCCATACTCAACGATCCTCCCAGTATTTCCTTAGAAACAAAAAAAGATCTGACATTCTTCTTGTTATTCAGTGAACGATTCTTTTCTAAGTTTTGAGAAAAGAATCAGAGAATTGTACGATGGCATCCAAACGTTTGTCCTCTTCATTGGTTACGGCCTTAGCGGTCACAGCCTCGTTGCCGCCATTCTAGATGCTCACCCAAAGATTGTTATAGCACATGAATTTGATGTGTTACGCAAATGGAATTATTACAAAAACGATACATGGAATGGGAAGAGTAAATTGTTCTTTGACCTTCACTCTAATTCGCGAGCACATGCAATGTTTGGCAAGAGAGCGCAATTTCGTAGTGTTTCCCAGACAGGTTATGCCTATCACGTGGCTGGGCAGTGGCAAGGAACATTCCAAGACAATATAAAGGTACTGAATTAACTTAAGTTTTGTTAACGGACAGTTTTCTCTTTGAGGAAACCCGGCACATTCGGTTTTGTCTAATATAAATAATTATAATAATAATCCTTTATTCACCCGCAGCAGTATTTAATAGCACTGATGCCAGTCAGGCGGTGTTGGACATGGTCCGAAGAGCATCATGGCGAAAAAATCAAAAACGGCTCATTTGCATCTGACCTTCGCTTTGTTCACATCTCTCGTTGCGCCATAAAAGTACCGGGAGAATTTGCCGGTGGAGGAAGACATATTTTGAGTAGTGTGATATGGGCATTACAGGTCTTCTTCCGCTTTTAAAGGACATAACATGCGATTTTCTGGATGCCAGTGGAGCCGAGCAAACGAATAATTTACTAAGCTTAACAGGGTTAAGAATCCTAACTAGCAGAAGCAAACCAGCTGGCTATTTACAAGCGTGGTAATTCATAAAGGATTTTAACTCGAGACTCCTGTGAATAATGCTGAGGTAGCAGTGAAGACAGGACTTCAAAACTGAGAGCTATTCAAAAGTATGATACGCAAAAGCAATCACTATGTTACGTTTTATGACAGAAATAGTTATTTGTGTCTAAAGCAACTCACAGAACGAGCTTAACCTTTGAGTTCCTTTTCTGTTGTTGTTCTTTAATCCGTTGTTATAAATCATTTAAAGTCGAATGAATAAAATAAAAAAGGGAAGAAATGCCGAAATAAAATCAGATGGCTGTACGGGAGAAGGCACTTCCGGCATTTCCTGCTCTCTTGAGGAAAATAATGTCATAGTAAGAATAGTCAAGCTCAGTGTCCCACGGACTTATGCTACTGATCAAAGCGGCGTTATAAGAGCGCACTTTTAGAGCCCTTACCTGGAACTGTAATACGTTACACGAAAAAAAAGCATGTATGAAGTAACATACCATGAAATTAGAAAGTCTCGCAACGTTTTTGTAGGTTGCATCTTGTAAATCGAGTTCTTACCTTTTATCTAGGGTGTCACCTCGTGCAACATATCTCCTAACAGCGAATAGGGCTATGTAACGGAATATATATATATATATATATATATATATAATATTTCGATTTTTCCGTAGTAGTGTCGAACGTTAAAGATAGCGTGATATAAAAAACAATGAAAAAAAACGACTTTCATCATGAAAGTTTAGTTTTTACGCGGTTCATATATATTTAGTATATACTAAAACAATGGATAGTGTTTTTCGCGCGCTCTGATTACGTCAAGACGTGAATATCCTTCACTATTATGATTCACCTCCAATTCCTCGGAGCGAGCGACGCCAAATATAAGTTGCAAGCAAAATCATTAAGACCCGGTTTGCTGCCGTAAACAAACAAAAAAACAACTAATTTGCAAGCTGTTTCCGAAATACACGAAGAAGGTGACGAAGTTCGGATTGGAAGTTTTAACAGGTAAAGATTTGTCTTTTGACGAATTTATCGATAAAACCGGTGAAAAAGTTTTTTGTTTACAAATGCGAATGAAGCTTAAGTCTTCCTTACTCTATTTAGTTGAGTTGTTCATGAATAAGCTTAAAACTAAATTTTAATCTTTTTTATAGAATGATTTTAAATCAAAAGAATTCACAACTCCTTTTAAGAAATTTTGTCCACAATCCTAAACAAATGCCTTCAAAAGTTTCAAGTTGCCGGTTGAAAAAGCGACAGTTCATCGCCCGGTTTTATCCGAAATGTTGTAATCGTTGGCGGAGTATTTGGGTTAAAAATCGTCGTTTTTGTGCTCAATTATCTCACTGTTTTAGTATATACTAAAACAATTATTCACCTCAGTGTCGGTGGCTAGTCGTGGCTATTTACCTCACTGCTTCGCAGTTCGGTAAATATATCCAGAACTATCCACCTCCACTTCGGTGAATAATTGTTATATATATATATTTTGTTTTTAATCTTTTGAAAAGGCTAAACCTGTCTTCGCATCACGACTGGATTGCAAATTAACATACTGGTCCAGTTTTATAATACAAGACTATATTTAGGATTTGAAATTGTTTCTTGTCGTCTGTTGCAAACAAATGGCAAGGATAGACAATGGAAATGGATTGAAACATGAAAAATTCTGGCCAACGTTTACAAGTTTTAATTCTACGCCTGCAAAAATCACCAAAAAATGATCGGTACGTTTCTGGAAATCTGCCCACCGACCCTTCCCCTAAGCTTACATGTTGCCTTAAGTGAGAAGTAAGTGTTAATGTTGGCTTAGGGGAGGGGTAGGTGGGCAATTTCCCCGAAACGTTCTATGATCCATAATTATTATGGCTACTGCTCCCTTATTGAATTTGAATTTGTATGATATGTTTTTTACAATTCTACAGGAGTATTTTGTGTATTCATAAAGGAACTAAGTAAAGACTCAGGGGCGGATCCAGGATTTTTTTTAGAAGGGGGTGCACTCGTCTCTTGCTCTTCTTCAACACCAATAAACCACATAGTTCTTTTTTTTGCAGAATACCGGTTGTATTAGAAAACCGCAGGTCATCTCAGGGGGGGGGGGTGCGCACCCCCTGCACCCTCCCCCTAGATCCGCCCCTGAGACTTCAGCACAAAATTGACCTAAACAGCAATCATATATACTCGTTGCAAGACTGCGGAAAACAGCCTAATTTAGCCATCCGCGCGCGTTCCTTTGATAATCGGTATAACGAGGATATAAGATAATCCGTAACTTTTTGTTTTCAGGTAACAGGAGACAAACACGGCGATGTATCAAGTTCCTTTCTGATGAAACATGGCTTTCAAGTTTTGGACGAAATACAAAAAGTTATCAAAGTTCCCCTAAAGTTCATTCACGTTATCAGAAATCCCTTTGATAATATTGCAACCAAGGTGCTGAAAAATCTAGACGCCAGGGATAATGCTCGTGATCAAAGTTTTAAAGTAAGTTTTGACTGATTTTTACTTTCGTTAGCTGATGATAATTGGCACCCAAAATTTCTTCCTGACGAATATAAAATGAACTATAAAGCAATAATACCGTTAAGTCCATTCATAATCAACTGGTATTTAAGCTTTCTTGAGAATCGTCAACAGTGCATTACTTACAATAGTTTTCGAGGACATTGGAAATGTGTGAACAGGGGCACTAAACAGGGGAGTGTGAGTGGTCCGTACTTATTTAGCATTTTTATTAATGATCCGGAAATCAGCATAGATAATCACCCAGCTTTGTTTAAACACGCGGATCACTCTACTCTCATTGTTCCCGTTAGGAGTAATGGCCACTGTCGTAGGTATTTGGTAGATAAGTTTTTAATTTGGTCTAAGGAAAACAGCATGATTTGTAATCCGTCGAAATGTAAAGAAATTATTTTTCGCAAGAAAGGTTTTATTCAGGATATTGCGCAAGTTAATACATGCATTCCGCAATGCACGGAGCTACCCATTTCAGGTGTTATATACGTTTCAGGAGAATTGTAAATATAGCGGACACGTACGTGCTAAGTTGACTAAGGCAAAGAAGTGTTGGTTTGTATTAAGATCTTTACGGAAGGAAGGTTTCAGTGAAGGTGAAGTGGACCACCTATTTAGCGCCTTAGTTTTACCGAATTTAACTTATGTTTTGCCTGTTTATGGGGCTGTAGACTCAGATCTCACGGTCATACAAAACTTTCTGGATAGATGCTTTAAAAGGAAATACACATCTAAGAGAATGGACATTCGAGAACTTTTAGGAAAGGCAGATAAGAAGCTTTTCAAGGTACGTTCAGTGGATCCCGATTTCCCGCTCAGTAACATCATTCCGAAGAAGAAAGAAACAAAGTATCTACTCAGAAACAAAAGTGCTCATCGCCCGGATATAAAGACCGATAGATTTCAGAATGTTTTTGTAAATAGGATTATTTTTAGATATAATCTTTGATCTTTCTATTATTTGTATACAGTGTGTCTTATGTATTTTTATCTTTTTATTTGTATACAGTATGTCTTATGTATTTTTAGATTCCCAACTGCTGATGTAACTTAAGATATTTCTTTTTATCTTAGGAGAATAAAGAATTGATTGATTGATTGATTGATTGATTGATTGATTGATTGATTGATTGATTGATTGATTATTGAATGAGGCTGAGTTAAAGGATGTGAAGAATTATGCAGATCGAGGAAGATATTATCCACCTTGGCTTTCAACCTCGGTGGATATGACAACCATTGAGCACTATGTTTTGCGTATTCGTGCATTTCTTCCGATCAGTTTTAGTCAGAACCTCAACTATTTCGTCTTCGAAAAGCCGTGAACGCCATTTTTTCAGTTCACTATATTGCCCAAGTAGCCTCGTTTCCAGTTAAATACACCGTCGATTACACTGTAATGTTGTATAGAATCATTCAAGGACTGCGATCGAAAATACTGCAGATATACGTAAAATCCATACGAAATCCCTCAAATTAACCAAACGTATCGCGTCACTTTTAACCGGATATAAATATGTAAATGAATAGATGAGTAAATAAGTAAATAAATAAGAAAAAAAAATCGATAAAATATTTTAACCCCATTAACAGAATTACGTCTTTTTCATTATGTCTCCTACAAGGTTAACAACTCTGAGGTTTTGGATCATTACATTGCCAGCCACTTCAAGAGAGTAGAGTCTGTTCAAAGATTGCACCAGAGCGGAAGTTATGGTATCTTAGATGTCTACAGCTCTGAAATTATTTCATATCCGCGTGAAAACCTGAGGAAACTATGCAGCTTTCTGGAAGTAAACTGCGACAAAGAGTATATCGATACAGTGTCAGCTATACTGTACCAAACGTCTTCCAAAACAAGGAATTCTGTTGTGTGGACCAGCGAACAAAAAGCACGTGTTGAAGAACTGATACAGAAATATCCCTTTTTGAGACCATTTACATTTTACAGCAATTAGAGAAGATTCATGTTGTATCTGGTGGCGCTCGTTAGCGAGATTTTAGTACTAGCATATTGTTCTTTTTTATGATGGAAAATCTACTAAAATTTCTTGATATGTTAGATTGCAAGCATGTAACTGGTTCATATGATTATCTGAGATAACTTATATGAGAAGTAAATTCCATACTCCAGTGCCCAAGGGTTATTTCAAGGTTTTTTTCTGAGAAGCAAACAGTTTTACATGATTAAAAGACGTGCCTTAAGAAGGTCTAGGAATACTTTGACTACAAGGTTCACAATTTACATCAGCGGTCAGCGAATGAGTCCAAATTTAGATATTTTGCCTCATCAGTGGAAGTTAACTGACTGGTTTTACTAACGGAGTTTTGCGAAAGTGAAGTCACTATGACTAAAATTTCAGCAAAGATCCGTTCAGCATACTGCACCTTCTGTACAACTAGCTTCAAGCAATGTCCTTGCCTGCAACTTCTAACATTTTGCTTTGGCGTTTATAGTTAATGATTAAAAAATATTTCATTCAAAGGATTAACTTTAGTGTAGTTTACAGTGGCGTAGCAAAGGGACCCCTTTCCCCCTTGGGTTACGGCTCTGGCTATAATTTGTAAAGGTAATAGCATGATTAGTAGTGATATTTGGCATAAATACCACGAGTGATATTTCAAAATTGCTATACGTAATTTCTCGAGCCAATAGGCGAGTGAAATTTCACTTTGAAATATCACGAGTGTTAGGCGAGTGATTTTTCCATTTGTTTATACTACTACCCGCAAGAGGTTTGTAATTTTCACATGTAGGTATTTCAAATTAAGCTGACATACCACTGCTCTAAGCCAATCAGATTGCAGAAATATATATATGCAACGGAAATGATAACGATCCCTACACAGTAATTTTCAAGGAGTTATAATAACTCCTCTAGTGGTATGGAACTCCAAAAAAATCGAACTCTTTTTCAGGAGTAAAAGTGACCCCAGATTTTAACCCAAAAAAGGAGTTTCCTTCCTAAAACTTTTACACTTTCAGAGTTTTAACCCTAAAAACAACCCTAAGGAGTAAAAATAAGGCAAATCTGGTCAAAAACCATCAAATAGGCAAACTAACCTCAAAACTACTCCCGCTAACTTGAAGTTATTTTCGTTTTCCCTCAGACCATTTCTTTATTGTAAGTTACCATCGATTACTCGGAACCATTTTTAAGCAAGTGACACGTCGGAAAAATAAGCAGTAAACTACACTGAATTTATTTCAAAACAATTGTGTATCCTTTGTCCTTACTTTTTTGTCTTTAGCCCTGTACTGATTCATCAAGCTCATTTGCTTAATATTCCTTTTTCAAAATATCGATACATTCCTTGCTGCCGTGGAAGTGAAATGTGCATGATACTTGCATTCCTCCCTAATTCTATTTCTTTATTTCTAGTTATTTGCTCTGAATTCCCGATAACTCGAACTTTTTTCGATTTCCCTTCGAGTTTTTGGGGGTCAACTGTATAAAATTAAAGCTTAAAGCAAAATTAAAAGGAAATTGGAATTGAGCCTGGCCCACTCTTATCTTAGGGTCTCGATGAGTAGACCTCCTACCTCTTGGAGTGGGGCCCAGCCTTTTTCTCGGCTCTGATTACAGGGGGCGTTAAATGAGGAAGTAGTCTCGACTGAGCAACTTGTAACACACTTGCTTAATTCATTTGTGCGTGACAAACTGCAAGAAAAATGTCTATTCTAACTAGGTCTTTATTCCTTGTTTTGCTGATTGTTTACACAGTAATGTTATAAACAGTATGTAAGATATTCTATCATATACTTTGTGGGTTGTATGTCAGTGTAGAAACGGTCAAATAAAAAGTTTTTTTGCTATTTTTTGCTTGATTTGTTATTGCTGTTTTTTGTTTATGTTGTTGTTGTTGTTGATTTTGTTTATTTTTTTATTGAGAATATCTTTCAAGTTTTTTTCAACGAAATTCCATCAAGAAAGTTCATTAGTGCACGTGAACAAAATTTCTAAAACAAGCTTTTAATTATTTTCTTAATTGTTTACAGTTAAGCTTTTGTAAGTTACGTAAAAAGAGGCTTTTAGGTTTAGAAACGGAAAATTGCAAAATATAATATTAAAGACATAAATCATATTTCTAATAACACCGAAAAAGGTATGACATACATAATAGTCGACTGCCGCCACTCAGATCCAGTGACAAGCCTGGCGCAGGTTCTAGCTAGGACTAAACTCATCGCAACACTAATGCAAAACAGATCTAACCTGAAACGATAACCGAATAATCTCCGTAGCATTATAAAATTTAAGTTTTCTTTTATAGCTGTGGGATTGCGAAAGTTGATTTGCCTAATGCTGTCAGCAAAACACAGAAGTCTGTACCGTCTTTTGCACCATTATGTCAAATGAAAGTGTAGATATTTAATAAACAGTAGATATTATATAATGGCTTTGACTTGCGCATGGAATCAAAAAACTATACATGACTATAGACGATCGCGATATATAGTTAAAATCAATGGAAGACAAATATGATGCAAGGTTATATCTTCGTCAGGTCTCCCTGTCCGGATCTGTCCAACTAGACTTGGAAACTTTTCCTTGTAGTCTGCAGTGTCTTTACTCACTAGTAATGATGCTCTCGAGTTCCATCGGTTTGGTCTCCTCTCTTTCCCCCAAATCGTGGTGCATTTCAATGAAGAAAACATAGATTAAGGCACCGAGGACACCGCCAAGAAAACATGCAAAGATTGGAACCCAAAACCAGTTATTGCTTGCCCTGTGAATTTAGGTTAACGAGGTTTTAGACTCTAGTTCCATTTTGTCCAGGAAGGTTACGTACGGTTGCCTGTGATCAGGCTCTCTGGTTGACAAGGGTAGGGATGGAAGAGGATATGGCAAAAAGAAGTGAAAACGTGCGTGGAGACTAAAAGAGAGAATGGAGAAAAAACGGGGGGGGGGGCTTCCACCTTATCCCAGTTTCTTTACTCCCCACTCATAACTCATTACATCGTTATTCTGTTGTAAAAAAACAATAATAATTTGTTGTAGTTGTTGTTTTTGTACTTTTTTTACTATTATTTTGTTTTGCTTTCGTCGTTGCCAATTATGTGTTATGTTTTGCTGGATAAAGAAGTCATGAAAATTTAATACTGTTCAGAAACTAATGCTCTATTTACTCACGTGAACACTTCGCCGCCCCATCCTGCCATGGCAGTGAATATCCTCGGTCCCAGATCCCTAGCAGGATTAATTGCATAACCGCAATTGAATCCAAATGTTGCGCCGATGACGAATACCAACAGCCCGATAATAAAAGGTGCTACTCCTTTGTCGGGAGCATTATTCTTTTTGTCGGTGATGGCGAAGACACAGCCCACAAACAGCGCGGTACCAAGGACCTAAAGAATAGTGCGAGTCAGTATAGCCCATTTTTATGAGAAAATGGGAATAATTGCAATAGGAAAATTTAATTTTAAAGTTGACTCAAAATCGTTAATACAGCGGTATGTACTAAAAAAAGAACTGTTGAGAAGGTTAAAAAGGAAGCTGGAACTAGGGCCTTATTGCATCAAGTTATTAGGAGGTGAAGTAAAGATCCTTTTTGCCTGACGTCACGGCGGCCATAATGCTGTACAAAACAATGAACCGGTGGCCATTTTAAGGCCTGTTTACATGGAGGTGGGGGACCTCATTTGAGTGAGGTAACATTTGACGGGTCACCCTACCTATCATGTAAACGTGCTCAACAGGCTACTGAAATGAGAGGTTACATGGACAGGCGGGTTACCCCACCTAAGCGGGTTACCTCATCTACCTGGGGTCCCCCACCTCCATGTAAACAGTCCCTTACTGTGCAGAAAACTGTGGGGACTTCTAATGTAAAGAAAAATAATTCTTTTGTTCGAAGAAATTTGCATGGCTGCAAAGCACGCGAGTGAAAACAATCTAAAGGCGAATCCTACTAGTTTCCGGAAAATCCGGTTGGAAAGTAAATGGAAAACGACTTTTTGGCTCGTTCTTACGGAAAATTTCCGGGAGCAACGGAACATCTGAAAAGGTTGTCTTGTTTGTTTGCTTTTTTTTTTTTTCGGATGAAATATTTCAAACCAAGCCATCTTTGACACCAGTTCCACGCCTCCGCGGCCGTTTTTCGGTAAATGAAACTTATTTGTACAAATGGTAAACGCGATTCAGGGACAAAATTAACCACTGATGAATTGCTTATCATTTGCCCACACCGCGAACCAACCCATTTGCCCATTTAAATGGATAACACCCCTTAATAGATTCTCTTGGAAAAACCCCAAACTAACTAAGCATGTATGAGCTGTTTTTGCTGCCCAGAAATTTCACAATTTTTGATTGCTGCTATTTCCTTTGTTACTAGTTGCAAAGAGATGCAAATTGCATATACTGCTCAAATTATTAACCAGCTCTTTCATCTGTTGAACCTAGCTTGTACATACGGCGACGCCTTCTATGGGTTAATTCCTATGCTAATGAGCAAAAATGTAAACATTGACGTCAGCAAGGATTCGCCTTTTCATACTTTTCAGCTACCCCTGTTTCGTCTCTCGTATTTACCTGATCACCGAAGCCATTTCCTGTTGATAAGAAGGACTGAGGATAAGTCGCCCAGATCCCTGCCGTGCCTTTTGGACCAAGAACGTGACGAACACCACCATCGAATTCATTCAAGGCATCTGTTAAGTTTAGATACAGGAAATAAAATATAATTAAGAAATTTAAGAAAAAAAAACATTAATAAATATGCCGCCAAATGGAACAAATGTGGAACTAAGATAATAACAGTCAATCCATCAAATTATTCCCTTGCGCTCACCGTAATATACGCCATAAACACTCGCTGAAGCCACAAACGCCCCTAGCACCTGCGCCGTCCAATATACGGGAACTTTCTTCCATGGCAATCTCTTAGCGGCCGCAAAAGCCAGTGTCAAGGCGGGGTTCATCTGAGCACCTGAAAGGGGTGCAAGGGAAAATGTTTACTATTAAAGGATGACCAAAATAAGTGCTTACGTAAATTTCTTCGCACATTGTAGCCTATTAAATAGAATCATTGATCACGGACAACTTGTCAAGTGACTCTTTGGGCACCACCAATGTACGCATATAATTATGTATAGGAATAACTCATTTTTTTTCCTGTGCTTATTACATTCCAAACGTACGAAAGTAATATATCTGATTGAAAACCGTAAACCATGAGCGATAAGGCTTTATGGTTATACGTTCATTAGCAAAGCAAATTCAAAGTTCTTTCAGCGAAAGTTAACATTGTTACGAGCTGCTCGGTGTAGATCCAAATCCCTTTATTATTAAGGCATGCAGTGGTCTTTTTATGTCTTATCTTATGATTTTCAAGTGTGCGTTAGCGATATGGCTACGCTCATTAACAATAGAAATCTCTGATGTGCCCCACACAGGTGAAGATGTGAGCATCCCGTCGCGAATAGCTTCGATAATATAAACTTTTCTGGAAAGAACGTTTAAGTTTACAACGCTTATAAAGTTCCTGCCCATGAATCTATGAGGTCCCATCGTCCATGGTTTATTCTTTTCAAGAGACAACGTTTTTTAAATCAGGTGTATATACTATTAGATCAATTTTCACATGACACCACGGCAGCCTTTTTCATGTAGAAAACAATGAAACGGCGGCCATGTTAGTGTGCAAAGAAAACCCTTTGTGGATTGTCCTCTTTTCGCATGTAAAAACTTAATCCTCTTGTTTTGAAAAAATTTTCATAGATGCTGATCACGTGAGTGAAAACGATTCATATATGATGATTCTCTATCAGAAACGCTAATTTATTTAACTGTGCAATGTATCTGATTCGCCAAAATTTAACATTAAAATAGCAAACTGATACTTATGGCAGGAAGATTGGTACAAAAAGACAAATAAAGAAAACAAAAATAAAATGGTAAATTATATTTGCCCGTTATTTCGGTCTTTAAACGGAGCCTAACAAAGAAAGAATTTTATTTTTATTTTTTCCATCAAGCTTCCTGCCGTAAGGATCAGTTTACTGTTTCAATTTTAAATTTGGTGTTGAAGTTTTTACTTATCCAGGTCTACTAAGGATCTGGCTGACCCTCACTGGTTTCTCGGTGTGGTTTTTCCCAGATAACTAATATGATCCACGAGCTCGATTATTAACAAGAGCTCCATTACTTGTCGAGCACGGTCAATGGAGACCGAGTAAGAATGGATTCAAGCTTGGTTACAACATATCGACATATCAGGTACGTTTTCCCGAGGTGCATTGTTTATCGAGCTTGGTTGACATGTCGAGCTCGATGAACCTGTATCGAGCTCGGTTGCCCACTGGCAGATAACTACAGTACTATGATCCGAAGACCTCAATATTTCCATTCTCCAAATAAAAAAAATTCATCCAATTCAGTTTAGTTGTTCAACCCCAGAGATACTGCCTATTAATCATATTTCCCGCACACACGTTTGTCCAGGCTTTTCTGGTCGATAGAGTGTTTACTGTGTACAAGTGTATTTGCATACCTGAGATTCCCCACGCCCAGTAGCATCCCATTGTTACACCCATGCCCCCGCCGAGGTTAACAGAGAAGAAATTTCCAAACTTCCAGTCGCTTAGAATCATCTGAGCCCCTGACCCCACACCAAAGATCTGAAATATTAATTCGAACCGTTAAAACCAATGAAATTTTTTAAAGTTGAAACTACTTTAAAGAGGGACTCATCTCTCTTGGGAGTCTTCTGGAGAGTACGACGGTTGGTTAGTTAAGCATCATTATCTTCGATTTTTCAGGAACAAGGTTTACTAATTGATAGTTGAGTTTTCTTACTTTTCTCTGCATTGTCTCTTTCTCTAACAAGTTAAGATAAGCAACTATGCTATTCCAAAGACTCGAAAGCACGTGATAGTTTCTATTATTTCATGGGAAAGGCCCTGTTTGCACTACTCAAAATTTTGTTTGTTTTGCAAAACAAAATCTGTCAACAGGAAACCATTTCTAGTGCGAAAGATTTTCTTTTCACCAAACAAAGTGTCACCAAACTTCAAAGATGCTGTCGAGCCAATCAAAGTTCCTTCAATTGACGTTTCTGGTTTGACAAAAACTTTGTAAACAAGAAATTGGAGATTACAAAATTTTCAAATTTTTTGCACGCGCCAAACTCTATTTTATGTCGTAGCGCGAACAGGGCCAAAGGCATCTATTGTTCATAAACAAGAATTCCGGATTAGCAGGTTTCTCTCTTCTTGCAGTAGCGAAATAGCCGAGTAGATGGTCAAGACAAAAGTACACCCATACGACGTTGATCACTCCTTCAACCATGATAGTGAGTTTACGCAACAGGACGGCAGGAAGAAGAAGACGGCAGAACGCTCGTGTGTGACAAACGTGACAAGGCTATTTCTTACGTGTTTTGTCGTGATCTTCACTTAACATCAATGTTTTCTGGTCTTTTACAAAAAGATCTGTTTAAAGGAAGGTGAATTTTGGCGAAAAGTTATTTCAAGCAAAATTATTGTCACGCTTGTCACACAAGGTTTGCCGTCTTCTTTCCTCTCCCGTCCTGTTGCGTAAGTTCACTAATAACGACGACGACAACGACAAAACTTACAGCTGCACTAAAATATACGCCCCATTCTAAACGAAGTTAGAACACATGTAAAAGGTGTTTAGGTTTCTGTTTCAAACTTTCCTTAATCATGTTTTTCTCGTTAGGATACGAAAAGATTCCAAGGGAAGAGGCCAGTGCGGCTGCTCTTTTTCCCGCCGTATCCAAGTTTTTCTCCTCCTCGGCCTATTCACAGGGGCCCATGTGAACGCTGCCTGTATCTACGAGGTTTCGCCCACTTTTTCACGGTCAATTCACTTCTTTGTTGGATACTTACTACAAGGATAAATGTGGCCCAGAATTCCGCGGTGGCTTCTCTCATTAAAGGAGACAAGCGGAAACCCTTGGCCTTGGCAAAGAACTCTTTGCGCTACAAAAGGAATAAATGGAGTTAAATAGAGGATATTACACGGGGGCGCGAAGATATGAATTTTATTTTCGAGTGGCAAAACAATCTTTTACGACAGAGCGCAGCGAGTGAGTAAAATATTGTTTTTGCCACGAGAAAATAAAATTCATATCTTCAAGCCGCCGTGTAATGTTCTTTTTATTATATAGACAAAAAGACATCAATAAAATAATAGAGGGAAATTACTGAAATCACGTCATCGATAAACTCACGTATGAGATTATGGAAAATAAACCACTCGGGTCCCGGATGTAGTTTATATGAAATTTTACGAGTGGTATATTTTCCAGTAAAACACTCGTGTCTATATAATAAAAACTGATAATCTGTTCCATTATGACATGGTCTGGCCAATTATGACACGGTTAAATCACTTATTGAAGATTTTTTTGAAATTATAGGGAGATGAAATTGGAGTTGTTTTACCCATAAATTTTTATTCCCTTCGATTCAAGAAGTTGGCTAACACGTAAGTAAACCTTAACAATACTATTGATGTCATGATGACGTCATTTATTATTAAGAAAGGAATTGAAACCATCCGCATTCTTGGACCCGCCATATTGAATAAAGTAAATGTATTCCATTTTGCTAAAAAAAAAAGTATAAATCGAGGTAGGTAAGAAATTTGGTGTGATTCAGTGAAACAATGAAAACGGAGTACACAAGTTATGAAACGGAGTCTACAAGTTATGAAATTCCGAGAGAAATATACAGTGGTGAAAATTAAACCCAGCGTCTGCCATTTGGTCTTATTAAACTCATGTTTAATTTGTTTTTGTGGTTGTTGTTGTTGTTTTTTTTTTTCAAGTTATCACTTAAAAGCCTGGATTTAATTTCCAGTTATAATAATACTATAATAAATCAGTATAGTAATAATAATAAGTCAATAGGTAAAAATAGAAATAATATTTTTCGGAAAAAAATGCAGTTTTTGAAAAACATGGCTGTTTTAACTCGGATGCCATGGTAACGTCAATGTCGACATACACCTCGCGCAATCTCTTTTAAGCGCTTCTTTTTTATTAAGTAGATTAAAATGGTAAAGAGGTGATATTTTTAATAGAAAGGTATACTCAAAACTGTCCTGAAAAGCTTCAAAATAGAAAACTACAAAATCGTGCGGCCCGGGTCCAAAGCTTCTAAAATCATGACGCCGACGCATCACAACTAATGGATAGCCTAAACTGGAGAAATCTTAGCGTCCAGCATGACATTTAAAAAGCCTTGAAGGTTTTCAAATCCCTCAACGATCTTGTTCCCGAGTATTCAAGTTTTTTTCATTAGAAGATCTGATACAACCCCTTAGACTTTTCGAGATTCTGTAAATAAGTTAACTATTCCATTACATCGCCACGCACAAATTATGGTCGAAATAGTTTCCGCTACAGGGTGCTGTTCTTTGGAATAGTCTTCCTTAACCCTATTCAGATCGGGGGGGGAGCTTTTGAGGCCCCCCCTTCGCTAAAAAGTTGAATAACTTCAAAACAGTTCAAGCTAGGACCACCAAACTTTGCGGACTTTTCCTAAAATTTATCTGTGAACATTTTGATGTCGCCGTGACGAGTACGTCAATATTGATGTTACCATGGCAACCGAGTTTTGACAGCCATGTTTTTCGAAATTTGCATTTTCTCTAAAAAAATAGGTGTTATTTCTATTTTTATTGACTGAATTATTACATAATTCAGCATCATTTCATCAAGGTTATTGTAACCTTTAATGAAATCCAGGCCTTTTAATGACTAGTTTGAGAGAAAAACATGAGTTTAATATAACCAAATGGCAGATGCTGAGTTAAATTTTTAACGGTGTTTATTTCTCACAGAATTTACATACACGTATTTTGCTGATTTTTTGGCTTTCTAAGCATCCTCTTATACTCAGATAAAGTTTTCGGTTAAAAAATACCTCGATTTAGTTTTAAGTAAAATGGAATAGATGAGCTTGACTGGTTAAATGGTTTAATTAATGATTCGCTATTTTGACGTATACGAAATTAACAAGGATGTTTCCACTCCTTAAACTGACAAAAAAGCGCAATATTATGATCCATTATGCTTTATCCAACAGAACTTGTAATTTACTACCTTGCTTGATGACTGACAGGATCGATCTACTGGCAACGGGCCGGTGTTCATGATTAAGGACTTTGTCCTTTTTCGCAAAATAATCTTGGTTTGGTGCGTGTGATAGGTGTTAGGTTTCAAGGTTTTCCGAGCCAAACACCTGAAACGCTATTAACTTGAAATGTAATTGACTTCCGTAATGTTGCAAAGTCCCGGTTTTTCACGTGAGCAAACACTATGAAATGTCATCTGTCTCTTTACCCCACCCCGCCACTGGCGAAATATGCGAGGACGAAAATACAAGGCTTTGTATCAGCAACAACAGCAATAAGCCATTTTTGAGTTCCCCCGGGGCCTCTGTTTCAAAACGAGGTTAAGTGCTCAGCCTTTGATATAGAAACAACTTAACCACTTAGTTTCCATTAATGGACACCTAACAGTTAATCCCTACCGTTCTTTATCTTTTTCTATGTATGAGGGCTTGTATCTCTCTAAAATGGGCACTTGGTGCAATTCCCAAAGGTCTCCTTACTTAAAAGATCTAGATATAATTGATTGCAACGCAGTTCTTTACAGGTCTCATAAATGAGTCTCTGGAAACTGAGTACTGCATCCTAAGCTGCTCTTGCAGCACTTTGTCATAATTTCAAGCGTGCAAAGGTGTATTACATCTATATTAATTTATATATACAGTAATCAATCTACCCATAAAACGCTAAGTATAACCATGGTTGAAGTAGGAAGCCTTCGATGCAGAGTAAGCTGAACAATTCAAGCTGGTTCGTCCCAATGATGATTGTCTGTTTGCGCTCAGGTTTTTGGACAGGTGTTACATTTCAAAGCTTCCGGGCCAGAAATGATTTACTTTAAAAGTAAATATCTGTTGTTATTTCTCCACATCCTCTGTTATTTTCTCTTTTTTTTTTTGGCTCGCGCTTCTGGTGGGAAAACTATTGAAAATATCGAGGGCCCAATTGCATGCTTGTAAAACCGGCTTTGTATAAGGTACATGAAAATCGAACGCCATGCACTTATTTGTACAAACATACTCAGTTCTAAACCGCTTTAGTGATTTAAGAACTCGGACCTCTTTCAATTACGGACGAGTACTCTAACATATACCCTTTGCTTTGAACTTGCAAAACGATGATATTGTTTCGGAATACTTACTTTGTTGACAACTTGAATTTACCATATTTCAAAAGGTCATAACACATTGGCGGGGGCATATAAAATTCGCGGCATGTAAGGGCACTCATCTTTGAAAGAACCATTCATCCTCCGACCAAAATTTTGATTATAGTCGTCCACTTAGCAAGCCCGCTAGATTAAAACAAATAAAGTGCACTTTCTGCCTATTAAAAGAACAACTAGGGTTGGTCCCTACCGTTCTTGGGCCATTTTCGTTTTCTTGAATAAATTAAGATAAACACTAAGTGCCTGAGTCCCCCTTTTTTCTTGCACCCATCACTTCTAGGCGCCTGCTACGCAGCCTAGTTCAGCCCTGTCCAACAGGCTTCCATCTTTAATAGATCTAAAGAGATCTCACTCCAGTTCCGGGATGCCTCGATTATTACCGGGCCAAGAAGGCTGTTTTAAGTTCGCCGTGTTTTAATTCAGGGTTTTAAAATCTTTGAAAATGATTAAAGCAAGTTATAAGATAAAGAAAAAAATGGACTGGTTAAGAGGGATACAACCCGCACTAAAATACTTCAGATACGGTTTTAGGTCCAAAGAGTTACGAGGTCTTTAGAGAAACGCGCCCCAGGTTTTGTACCAGAGTTACTGCAGCCTCAGCCGCGCTTGCAGTTAAAGGTACATGCTTTCTCTACCACTAAATATCCAGCGTGCGCGTGTTCCTGAATAAAACGTACATCAATCTCTATATAATCTATTTATGATAAAACACTTAGTACTAACCATTGTTGAAGTAGGAATCCTCTTATGCAGATCGATCGATATGCTGAACTGTTCGTCCAAATTATGATTATGTAAGCCGGCTTTGCGTTTTTCAGTCGATTAGAGTCTTAGACAGGAGTTAGATTTCAAAGCTTTCCAAGCCAGACGTAGACCTAAAGGGGCGGATCCGGAAAATTCGGCAAGCGGAAGCTGGGACACTTGCCAGCCATATAGATACTACTTATTTTACGGCCAATAAATGTACGTAGTCGGTGGGGAATACTCCGAGCTATGTACAAAGATGTTTCATAAAGATATCACTAGACTTTCAAAAAAGTCCGTATGTCCGATGTTACAAGTCCAAGATACCACTTGCGTGTGTACTGGGTAGATGAGGTATAAGGGTGCACGTATCTATGAATTGGCCTCCGGCTCCAGTTATATAATATACAATCACCTTCCTCTCTTTTAACACCTAACATTGACAGAGTTGGTCTCTGGCCAAGAAATTCCCCTGGCGAAATATGCAAGGGGTAAGAATTAAAGAAAGGACAAATGCCTGATGGCTTAAGCAGCAACAGCCATAGATCCTCCCAAAGTAATTCAGTTAGTGAAAATCGGTCGATACCATTGAATAGAGAGTGCCGTTGTTGAATCGGAACAAAGTTTCTTAGCTCGGCAAAGTCGCAAAATTCAGTATGCAAGTTTGTATCGTAGAGGGGAGGGGGGGGCACCAACTTGCCTGCGTACACCATTAAAACGTCTGTAAAATTTCGCGACTTTGGAAAGCAATCTTCGCTCGCTTTTGACGTGTTACTTTCAAACTAATTTTTGCCAAATGACTGTCATCTAAACTTTAAAAAAAAAGTTAAAGGGTCTATCGTTAAATCTTTTAAATGTTTGGTATCGTGTCGTTGGCAAAAGAAGAGAATTGAACGAGTGGATCCAGCCTCGGGGTACGCTGCGAGCAGAGGCTCTTCGATCTTCCTAGATAAGTCTCTTCTTCCTCCCGACTCATCTAGGAAGATTGATGGGCCTCGGCTCGCAGGGTAGCCTCAGGGATATGGCGACGGACATCCCTCCATGTTCCATGAGATTATGAGGATCCAGAAGGGCTCAAATTCGCATGAAGACCTTTAAAGTTCTGCTATCGACACTATCGCGAGGCAGTGTATCATTTTGTATACTTTACTTGCCATTTCTTCAATAAACCCTTTCGATGTATTCGTTTGACAATGATGAAGAGTGGGTACCTTAATTGGTTATATTTTTGCGCTGTAACCTTCCGTCGATTCTTTTTTCCTATAAAAGTAATTTACTTTGACGGGGTATTCAAACAAATGACAACAATGAAAACAACAACAAACAATTCTGACCATGAAACCTATTGACAAACCAAGGCCCTGTTGCATAATACCAGACCCTCTCGAGAAAATTCTTGGCACACTGCTTAAGAAAATCTTAGGCTTCGATATATTAAGTAAGCTGAGTAAATTGACTATACACGTTGGTCAAATACGAGCGTTTCATGTCCTCAGTTTCAGTATACCATTATCACTATAAGGACGAACCAGTTAACCAGTGTAGTCATTAGGTAACAGCTTTATCCAAAGTTAATCCGCAGCTGATAAGACTGAGAAGGTTCAGGTGGATGCCCGGAACGAAGCTTTTGCTCTATCAAGGTGCGTAGGTAGAAAGAAAACGCTATAATGTCTATATTAGCAACGGTGGAAATAAGCATCCAGCTCAACAGGGCTCCGTTATTGCAGTTTATAGAAACGGTGGGGGCAGATCGATGTGAAGAGAAAAGAAACCGAAAGTTATAGAAAGTAATATATACTCGAAAGGTCTCTAGCTGAGCCACGAACTCAAGGTCAAAGCCTGATATAACGTTTCAATATGTGATTAATAAAAGGCGTTTGACTTGTCAACACTATGGGTTATTATGAATTGTGTACAATCTAATTATAACCTTCAACTACCAGAGTGAAAGACGGAGTCTGTGAAGGGGGTTCTATCAAGTAAGCGTTCAAATTAAAGTTCACTGACAGCCTTCTGAACAGGATTTTCACACTGAATTATTATTTTCTTATTCTGCCCTTTTAAAGAATGTAATTTGGCATTTTTTTTTAACAATTTTGACTTTGAACACATTTAAGAGTGAAGGGGAAAATACTAGGAGGATAATAAGTCACTTTCGAGAAGGGAAGTGGAGCCGAAATGCGTTCCGCAATCCACCGTACCTAAAAAGATGGCGACTGGTACATTTACCCACAGTTCGTAGCGCATGGAAACCATAGAATTGCTCATAAAAACGCACAGAAAAGTTTTATAAACTTCAAACGTAGGATAGGCAATGTTGTTATTTCAGGGACGAATTTCGCCCCACCCCCTCTCCCCCCCAAAAAATATGACTTTATGTGTAATTGGCCGTGCTAGGTTCGAAAGGAATTGTGGTAAAATATACAGCCGCCATCTTTTTCCGCTCGGCAGATTGGGTTTCTGGAATCGTTGCTGGAGAGACGCCGGTCAGCTATTGGTTTATATTTTCCCTACCCCTAAGTACCAGAAGTCTTTGCAACGTTTCGACGGTCCAGTTTCCTTCTCGTTTCTAAGGTGACGAATCCCGGGCGTGAATGCTCGTCGTCTCGCTTAGATGTGTAAATTTCTGATTTTCGTCTCACTTAGGATGTTCTGCGGTAAAACGCTAGTATATTTAGGGTTGCACGCGAAGAAGTATAAAAATATATATATACTTTCAATGCGTTTCATTTACTCGATTCAAATAGTCAAAGTTTAAAATGGTCTCTTTTGGGGTCAAAAATAGGTCGGGCCACGCCCAGATTGGTCTCCTTTAGGAGTTTAATTCAAAATTTCCGACGAGCATCCCTGCTCCTTTCATATGGGAGTCCTCCCCCCGTTCCCTGGTGGCGAATACTATAACACAGCCCAGCCTCTTGTATGTAAGCGACCACCCAAAATGCCAGGATTTAGTGGTCGCTTACAGTGTGGATAGCTAGCTAGTGGCCGTCGTTATTCCCTCAGAGCCACCGGCGGCGGGCGAAATTTAGAGATTAAGGAGGAGAAATGAGAAAATGCTTGCAGTCTATTACGGAAGCTGGTCACTTACGAGAATCGCACCCCAGGGGGTTTCTCCGACTGGGTGGTCGCTTATGGGAGGTGGTCGTCTACGAGAGGTGGATCGACTGTAGCGTGTTATATAAAAATTCTTAAAATCATCATTTGCCTCGTCCAGAGATGGTTCTTAGGCCCGGATTTTCCCTTTTTAAAGTTGTAGTTTATTAAAGAATAAAGACTTCTTGTTTAAACCGTAAAAAAAGCCATAGTTTTGGTCGTTAACCGTACCAACCCATATTTTGTTTTATATGTCGTTATCAAAACACACAAGTTTTTTTTTTTTTTTTTTTTTTTAAGGTTGTAGGGAAAACTCGCTCAGGGCCAAATTACAGAGATGATTGGGTTGGCTGACCGTAGGAAATTTCTTTCTTTATACTTTAGCTTGTTGAACATAGCAAGGAATAGGGACCTTTCGCAACCTAGACGACGAGCCAAGTGGACGCCGACAGGAAGTGTTTTGACGAAGCCGGCAACAACTGCGCATGTCAGTGACTTATAAGACTGAAAAGAGTTGTGAATTATGGAATACTATTGAAAAACTCTTTTAAATTACTCTTAAAAAGAAACCTAGAATTTAAATTTCTCAAATGCCGAGGTAAAGTATTGTAAACTAGAGCCCTCTGAAAGGCAAAACGTCTCCGTCCAAATTCTAATTTGGCTTTGGGAAGTTTTAGTGAACATCCATTGTTTCTAGTGTTAATGTTGTGTTCAATTTTTGTAAAATATCCTTTAAAAGGGGTACAGACATTATCCTGAAGACAATCAAACACAAGCTGGCAGGACTGTCTCTTTATTAAACTCTCCACCAATGCCTTTCTGACCTCGACGTTCAATGCTTTCAATTCGACTCTTACGGGAACGTGACCAACAGAGACCCAAAGTTCCACAATACGTAAAACCAGGTTGGATAATAAAAAAACAATAAATGATATGATAATAAACAGGTGATGTCGTACACATGGCGTTCAGGAAGTCAAATGTGTGAATTTGCGGTCCAAAGCAATCTTTTTCGTCTCTCTGCCCAGTTAACATTGTTTTGTACCAATGTTTGAAAAAAGGAAACCTTCTTTTTACTTTTTGTCGAAGGTTGGGTCTGTGGAAACTAAAGATTTCCAGCGATTTTCGGTGAACTCTTCAATGGCTTCGGCGGGAAAGACCCCTTGACTAGAAGTAAAATGTTTATGTTTTCCTTAAATGCTTCTGAACTGTAATCTGTTTTCAGAAGCACTATTTAACTAGAAAAGGAAAAGGCTTTCATACTCGGGGCCTTTAGGGCATGACTGAGGTTAAAAGCAAGAAAGATAGGCTGGTTAAAAATCCCATGGGAAATCCTCCGCAGTCTCTCAAAGCACTGATTAGATCTGCAATCTCCTCTACACTGTTGTTTCATTGTCTTCACGTTTTGAGCTGTACATGTCTATCTCTAGAAAGCAAGATTTTGACTGTATTTCGCATATACTGTTTTATTCTCAAGGCTTAAAAGAAGCAACTCTCGAATTTCCTTAAACGAAACCATTGTAGTCTAGTTACCTTGGTGACGAACCGAGGCGTCTCAACTCGCTTAAACATTTGTTTTTCCCGCCGTGGACGACGTTCTCGACTAAAACCTCACTAGTATTCTCTCGTCGTCGTCCACAGACTCGTCCAGGTTGCTAAAGGTCCCTATTAGCACACCTGCACGGTCGACAATGTTGTGTACTTAAAGAGCCACCGTAGCAATGGAAGTAAAGCTGCATGATGCGGCTTCAAGTCGGGAAAACCGGAGGCCAGCTTTGATCTCCAAGCATATCTACTTCATAAACCAACATTCAAGTTTAGCAAATGTCGTCTATTTTAAAAAAATAGACGACATCCCTCGAAAAGGCAGGAACTATTAATGTAGCTAAACTTTAAAAATTATGGAATGAAATGGCGAATGAAATGGAATTCTTCAGATAGTATGGACCAAAGGAAAACCAAGACAGAAGAGAGACTTTGGGGAAAATATTTTTTTTATATAACTACATATTTTATATCATAATATTATTTAAAACATTAGAACTTAAAGTTACTTCGAAACAAAATGTAGGATATGGCTTTTGACTTTTCCTATACGCGATACAGGCATGGAAAAAATATACGTGCATATATGTAAATGCGACCGTAGGACTATAGGTCTAAAGTGAATTCAAGGGAGATCGAAGGTGAATACAATAAAATACTAGATTGTCGTCAAGTCTCTCTGTAAATCTGTCCCAGTGACCTGGAAACTTCTCCTTGTCTTCTGCAGTGTCTTTACTCACTATTAATCATGCTCTCGAGTTCCATCTTGGCCTCTCTTCCTTCTTCTGAATCGTGGTGCATTTCAATGAAACAAACATAAATCAATGCACCGAGGACACCCCCAAAGAAACAACCGAAGATTGGGACCCAAGACCAGTTGTTGCCTGCCCTGGGAAAAAAGGTTAACAAAATGTTAGGCCCAAGTTTCATGTAAGTCCAGTTAGGTTTCGCAAGGCTGCAGTGTGATGATCGGACTCCCTAGCCTACTGATTTGGCTGTAGTGGAGGTCAGAGGGGTCAAGCAGAAAGTAGCAAAAAAAGTGCGATGAGACTAGGAGATGGAAAAGAGAAGAGAAAGATAAGGGAACCTTTCCACTTTCCCATTTTTTCGCTCGGATTGCTTCGCTTGCCCCCTCACTTGTAGTATTTTTATAGGTCCTACATTAACTAGGCTTGTTCAGCTACGATAGCTAACATGCGTAGCACGCGTTTCCACACGAGTTCGTAGACAACGTTAGCAATGTGGGGAGTGTTGCTGCTGTGAAGAATGTTGTATGAGCGGAAAGGAAAAGAGTCAACTGGCCTGAAATATCCCTGTAGGTCAGGATGTTAGTGTTAGAAAAGCCGATCTGATATAAATTTCTTGACCGGTTATCTTCTGGCCAACAGTTTTGGTCTTTCCTCTAAGTCTGACATATATTAGAATCTTAGAAACTAAAATCACAATAGATAACAAATTATCATGATTATTATTATTATTCTCATTAACATTACCATCATAATTATCGTCATCGTTATCATTATCATTATCGTTATTATTATTATTATTATTATTATTACTATAACTATTATCAAAATTTTTCATTCTATTAAGAAACTAAAACTCAGTTTTACTCACGTAAACACTTCGCCGCCCCATCCTGCCATGGCAGTAAATATCCTCGGTCCAAGATCCCTAGCAGGATTGATTGCATAACCGCAATTGAATCCAAATGTTGTGCCGATGACAAATACCAACAGTCCGATGAGAACAGGTACCACTCCCTGGTCGGGAGCGTTGTTGTTTCTGTCGATGATAGCGAAAACACAGCCAACTAACAGCGCGGTACCAAGTACCTGAAAAAAAAGAAAGAGAAGAAAAACACTGTGAGTCAATGTATGGTGCTTCTACTTAAAAAATGTTTGAGATAACAGAAAAATAAATTAAGATAATGTTATTTACTAAATATAGTTGCGAACTATAAATCATCACGCTTATAAATGCCCAGAGACTCAAAAATCGTTTTCACTTCTTTTGATCAACCTCGTTAGGAGCTTGATTCTTGACATCTCTTTCCAGGGCTTTAGCCTGAGTAACAGGCGTTGAGTCGTATAACTCTCTTGACTGTCAACTTGATCACGAAAATCAAAACGTTGTCTGAGAAGTTACTTGGTAATGGGAAGTAGTTAGCCTTTTCACCTATACTGCTGTTTGGTCTCTCGTATTTACCTGATCACCGAAGCCATTTCCTATTGATAAGAAGGGCTGAGGATAAGTCGCCCAGATCCCTGCCGTGCCTTTTGGACCAAGTACCTGACGAACACCACCATCAAATTTATTCAAGGCATCTAGGAGATTCCAATTATAAAGCAATAAGAAACATTCAAAGGGTTCAAAAAAAAATAAAAAAAACGTTAATATGTCAATACCTGGAACAAGGGTGGAGGTGAAAAAGTTTTACTTCGAAAACAAAAAACAACAGCAGCAGCAAATTATAATTGAAGGGTACTTTTGCCAGTTTTTGTCAGATGACTATTGTATAGAAGTACAGAACTTGAAGTTAAGAAAGGAAAGCAAATCAGTGAAATCTCTGATTAAAGAGATTTCCTAATCTGCAAGTTTTTTCGCCCATTATTGACTAAGAACATCTAGAAAGTAGAGTGACTTGGTAGAAAAGATCAAGTTGAAGTTGTTCAGAGCAACTACGGAGAAAATGTTCCTTCACGGGAGAACCACTTGGTCTTTGACAAAAGCCCAAGAAAAAAGCTTGGATGGAACTTATAAAAGAATGCTGCAAATCCGGAAAACATATCTTGGAAAGACAGGGTTAAAAAAGCGAGCTTTATTGTAGTCTAGAAAAGGTGACCTTTACAATTCAAAATAGAAGAATTGCTCTCTCTGGACATGTATTTCGTGATGAAATGAGTCAGAGCTCTCCAGCGCAATGCTAACACGGGTGCCTGCTCATCGAGGGCAAAAAGAGGATACCCTTCAACTACATGTATTAACACACTGCTGAGGGATACTGGGCTGGAGAACGTTCGAGATCTTGAAAGTTGTATGAGAGTCGAGCCCTAACGAGCCAGTTTTCTTCCCGTCATCTTTTAGGCGTCGACCGTGAGTAAATGAGTAAGTATTGACTAGCATCAAGAGCGGCTCTTGCTAGCATTTGATAGCAATTAATTCACTCCTGATGTTACGGTTTGTGCTTTCCAGGGGAGTAGCATAAAAGACTCAGGCCTTCGAACTGCGATTGCTCCTTAAACCAATAAACGAATGTCAATCCATCAAAGAATGCCCTTGCACTCACCATAGTATACACCATAAACACACGCTGAAGCCACAAACGCCCCCAACATCTGCGCCGCACAATATACGGGAACTTTCCTCCATGGCAATCTCTTGACGACGGCGAAAGCCAGTGTTACAGCGGGGTTCATGTGAGCACCTGAAAGCGTTTAAGATAAAATATTTCTTATAGGAGCCCAAAAGAAGTGTTTAATGTGAATAACTTCACAAAGAGGAGCCTCTGTGTAGTATGTATTCAACAGAATCGTTTAAATAACTCTCTGACTATCAACTTTAACTTTGAACATTGCTGGTACTACCAGAGTACGTGGATATTTTTTTTTTTTTTTTTTTTTTGCTAGCTAAATTATTTCCAATCGTAGAAGTTAAAATAAAATTGAGGTCCTCTTCAGAATAGCTAATGTCTTTAACCATGTAAAGTAAATTCACCATCAGTTAGTGTATTTGTATACCTGAGATTCCTCCCGCCCAGTAGCAGCCCATTGTCACACCCATGCCCCAGCCAAAATTCACAGAGAAGAAATTTCCAAACTTCCAGTTGCTTAGAACCATCTGAGCCACAGACCCAACACCAAAAATCTGAAAATAAGGCGTACAGGATTAGCCAAATTTTGAGATTTAAAACTGTTAAACTACAAGACATAGGGTATCGACAATGTCTCCAATTTTCTGCAAAAAAATAAATACTTGTGTTTGTTGAACATTCATCGGTCTTTTAAGATCCCGACTTATTAACGGATGTCTATTTCGTAAGGCCTCTCTTTCTTTCCGCCCTTTCCCCGTCTGCTCAATTTTGTTTTCTTTACCTCCTCTTCGCTCCTTTTTCCTGACTAAGTGACCATACACAGGTTCATGTGATCATTGTATTTACATTGTATTTAAGGGGCAGTTTCCCCCTCTCCTTTATATCCCAGTATTGTTTCTTCACCTTTTACTTACCAGTAAAATAAATGTGGACCAGAATTCTGCGACGGCTTCTCTCATCAAAGGAGACAAGCGGAAACGCTTGACCATGGTGAAAGCTTCTCTGCACTGCAAAATCAAATAAATTGCTAACAATTTTAACCTGTAGTTTTTTACAACTGCGAGACTTCTTGGTTTAAGTGATGTTTTTGCTGGTGTCCATACCATCTTAATGGCTGATCGTTCCTCAGTAGCAATGAAACATTACTTTGTATCTCAAAAGAATTGGATCCTTACTTTTCGAAACCTCTTTATACGGCCGCCCTCTTCGAGCTTGTCAGTACTGCAAACTTTGTCAGCAGTATTCTCAGGATCATTGCTAGCCATGATGCTCAATGTCCCCTGCCGAGTTTGTGATCACGCTGCAGATTCTAAGTCCACGATTTTGTCCAAGTGTGTGTTTCAAAGCCGAGCGTCACTACTCCGATATTTTGTATGAGTGTTTTCTTTTATGGTCTTATTAACTCTTGAGGGTCTCCATTGGACGTGCTTTTATTAGAAAATGCGATGTAAGATAGATCTGGCAGTATTAGATTAATTGCCTCATAAAAGTAAGCAAGATTAACTTGCAAAGTGCCCGAAAAGGCTTGTAAAATAAACAACGTTTGCACGCATAGTAAACTTGTTGACCTGCCAAAGATGAAGAACTAAGAACTACATGGGCAACCATTACGTGAGCCGTATTACATTGATCATGAGAAAGCAAGAATCTGACATGTTGAAATCCCGTTGGTCCTCAGAAGTTAATTGTTTGCTCACGCCTATTCTTCTTTAAAAATGTAGATAATAAACCTTAAGGTTAAGATGTTGTAAGGAATCTATCTAAAAAAACAAGCCATACTAATAAGATGAAATGAGAGAAGCCTAGTTAAGGACAATGTAAAAAACATCGTCAACAGGTCTCTTCAAGTTTAGAAGCTGACGTAAATACCGTATTTACAGAAACGTACGTTTGAAAGAAACCAAAAAAGAAGGAAACTGTAAATTCATCCTCGTTGTAAGTTTAGTTCCCCGACGAAATCTCAATTAAAATCGATTGAATTATGAAGTTTAGGCAAAGTATCCAAGTTGAAGTTGGTCAGTCTCAGGCCAGCGCTTACCAAACGTCAGACCGGTCATCTTGAAATTAAAATAAGCTCTTTCTAAGAGTTTTCTGGGGCCAGTATCTTTTTCCTGCATTTTGTATGACTGTTTGCACGGACGGCTTTTCAATTTGCCACCTTTCTCAAGACCTCAGTAGGCTTACGACAATTGTTATCATTCTTTTAGTTATAAGACAACATTCAGCTAACAAGATTAATTAAATAATGATATCAACAGAAGGTCTGGAATGAAATGAGGGTAAAGTGTCTACTCTCTAGCATCTCTCAATTCAAAACAATCAAACAGTACAGTATTTTTGTGGAGTCATAAAGGGCTTACATTTGAACATATAAGCTATAGACGATTAACCACGCTTAAGTGGAGAATTCAAGCACTTCTATTTTATTTTAGTCACATTTTTGCCGTACTGTTGATCCCACTACAAGAACATGACACCTGGGAGCTCCTACAGTTTGCAAGGAGTATCTTACTAACCAGCTTTACTTTGGCTTTAAGGCACTCAAATAATGCTTCACTTTGCTTGTTTGTCTGTTTGTTTTTTTTTTTCAGCATTACCCGTTTTTTCAATAAGGATGGACAAGTCTGATACGTGCATGATGGTATAATCCTGAGTTTAACCGAACGAGACCCACTGGTCTCTAATGCTTCGATTTCAGACAAAATGCACATTTTATCCGGGGGGATACTCGACAAATTTTCAGACGGGGAGGCTCCGCCCCGAAGTACAACCCCTTACCCTAGTATATACCATTTTTCACGAAAAAGGTGACTTACTATATCCGGACGTATACAACCTATATTTGCAGATTACTGGACCAAAATAATTTTAAGAGATAGTTCTCACTCAAAGGCTCCGATTCCATGTCCTAGCTTTACATGACGGAGAAAAGCCACTAGGTGTCGATAACTGCGCCTAGTGGCTGGCTTCTCGCGCTTAGTCCAACCAAAATAAACATAATGGAAGACTGGGAAGGAGATTCGGAACAAATTCTTTGGAGAAAGATGAAGGCCCAACAGAGGGTCATCAAAAAAGGCATCTGCTGGTGGAATGGTCGACTTACAGTGGAATGAATGACATTTGAGAAAGAAGTAAGCCGGAATTATTGCCGGTTTTAGTTCTTTTAAGATATTATTAAAGCTTAGGTGAACGGGCCAACAACTCTAGAAAACTCTTGAGAAGTTCCTGTCATTTTTACTTCACTAGGTATAATTGAAGGCATGACTCAAGTAAGGCTTTGCGGTTACTTTGTGTCTTAGGCTTAAACGCTTATTACTACTATCGAGTGAGACATATGATCCAATGAATTAAACTTATCCTGAACCCAACCTTTGACCGGAGGTATAAAAAGGGGTAGCAATGCTATCGCTCAGCAAGGCAGTATAGTATTCTGGCTTAACTTAATATAAACAAAACAAAGCATTAGAATTTTTTACGCTACAATAGCATTGATGGATCGGGAGAAGAATCAACGTCCGTAAAAAGATTTAATTAAGCCAGATTTAATTTTCGTGTCATATTTTGCACCATCTTGTCCCTTAGCAAGTTTTGTCGCGCTCTAGGACTCGGTGCTCTTCTGATGTACGGCAGCGGTACCTGTAAACCTGTAGCCTGGAGTACTTAGAGCTTACGTCTAGAGACTTACCTTCAACTATAAAACATCAAGCTACAATGAGGCCTTACTTTCAACCCTTCATGAAGTTGGTAAAATAACCTTTCAGAGTCAATTCATTCTTTATATTTGTGTTGCGAATATTTCTAGAATAGAATGCCTTTTATCATAAATATTAGCAAATTGTGACAACCTTCTTTTGACAGCCTGTCCTTAGTTAAGTCAACAAGGAGACTGTAGTGAAGAATCCTGATTTAATTATTCTAGACAAATTCATTTACAAGCCGCCCGCAATAAAGATTAGCATTTCAGCCCTGGGGGAGTGGGTACTCAACACAGGTTTCATACAGGAAGGCTCGGCACTGAGGTCCAACCCCCTACCCTTTTATATACAATTTTTAAATGAAAAGGTACTCCTTATTTAGACCTTTGCAGCCCCTTTTAAATGCTGAAAATGCACTGTCTTTGAAATACTAATAAATTACAACTTTTTCCCAGCCACAAAAATTTGTAAACCCTTTCAGACCGAAATGACAGGTTTTGCTACCATTTCATATACTTCAACAAGTGAAATTCCTACCCTTCCGTTTACCTGAAGCCTCAAAAACGTACCCCTTTCGGGTAGAGCCTCCCCGTCAGCCCCGTATAGGCCATTATAGGGAGTCCTCCCTCCGGGATCTTAGCCCAACATCTCGTCCCTTTGGCCGGCCGGCTGGCACACTCATAAGTGTCTCTCACTTTGCTCCCAGAAAGATGCACAGTTGTAAAATTAGGTGGCGAATAATGAAGAACCATCGCCGGAAGGATCCTTACAAGAATCGTATTATATTCGGGTAATCAATTGTATAGCCTCCTTAGTAGGCGTTGGAAAGAGAAGGGAAAAGGAATTTGGGAGCGTGACAGGGCGTGAAAGAGAAGAGGGGAACTTGCCTCCTTTCTCGCGTGCTCGACATCCACTTTCCTTCCCTTTTGAATGCCTGCCACGCAGCTATCATCTTTACTACATGTGTATACCCAGTGGTCTCAGTTGATGAAATTTTATACGGATTTGCGAATCAATCCTTGTATTTTTAATAAAAGAAGGCTCTCCCAGGAAGCTCAAGCAAAGCCTTTTTTTTTGTCTACGACACCATATCAAGTATTAAGTTTAACGAACTGTGGTCAGTCGTTATTGATTTTTTCCGCATCGCTTGAGCTTTAAGGGAAACGCAATTCTGGTGACGAATTCATCAGTAAGGTAGTTGGCAGAAAACCTAAGGTAGAAAGATCCGTTTCCGATTAGTCGCAGCGCAAAAACAATTTTAACCCAGAGAGGCACGATGCTGGCTTTACTAGTCGACAGACCTGCTGGGATGTTTGTTAAGGATTCTCATCATATCCATCAACAGAAATGAAACCACAAGTGCAAGCCGATGAACTAAATCACGAAATCATTGACGTAGACCATGGAGATATGGGCCGCCTTGTCTGACACACCATCTACACCATGAGATTCATACTAACGGAGGGCCCCTCCCAACATTTCACCAAAGATGATTTAAGGGACTCTCTCCATCCTTTTTTTGTAATTCTTCACTTATCATGCAGCCATGTAAGAATTTCTGTCCCGGGGGAGTACTGTACAGCACTCCCTTATACCAGCCATATAGGTATGTGCTGCCCCAAAGGGTTTGATTTTTACGCCGTTTTGGTCTGAAAACGGGTATAGATTTTGCCCATTTTGGTCTGGAATCGGGTATGATTTACGAAGGACTACGGTTGTGTATCAATGTGTTCGTCGTTTCAATTCGAAATGAATAAGAAAGAAATTGTTTATATGCAAATTCGAAATGCATTTTAATGCGGTTTTAATCTCAGCAATGATGACATGACAATGATTTCTGTTTTACGTAAACCGAGTGTGATGTTGCGTTTTGTGACCACCTCCACGTCTGAAAACGGGTATGAATTTTAGAGGCCAGGTCTGAAAACGAGTGAGGAAAATGACAATTTTTGGTCTGAAATAAGGTCAGAATTTGGAGAACTGGGCCGCACTCCCTCACGAAGAATTCCCAGGAGTACCCCCCGGGGTTTCTGTCCCACATTTGTTTCCCTTTCTAACACATTTAACTTAGAATTGGCTGCTACTTTTTCGTTGCATCGACTATTTACGCGAGCCTGTTTAATTTTCGCTACTTTTGTTCGAGTCCATGCTTTGTGAATAAAAAGTGATCCTGATACCTACAATAGCAAGTAATTTTCAGGTGATCATGGAGTATCTTCATACCCCCCAGGTTAGACGTTTTTCAAATATTGACATGAATGCGGTGAGCTATAATGATCTACCGGTCTCCTTTATTAATTGGCATAAAAGTATTCTTTGACACTTTTAAGACCCTTTTAAACGTGTTTGTCGATGATTGACGCCATGACAAGGGATATGACCTTATGGCCCCTTAAGTCAGTATCGCCAGTACACCACCCGTCAAAATTCCAAGGCCGCTTACAGGGCCATTTTTTCCTTTAAAAATTCCTGAAAGATTCATTTTGAAGTTTAAATTTTCGCTGCACTCTTTTATCGGCTTTTGATATGCTCTCTATACGTACCTTTTGGTATTCTCATACATTCTCTATAAATTATTTTGATTAATTCAAAGGCTGATGAATGCCCGGGAGGGAGACTCCCACAAGAAAGGGGGGGATGCTCGTCGAAAATTTTGAATTAAACCCCTTAAGGAGACCGAAGTGGGCGTGGCCCAACCTTTTTTTGACCCCTAAAAGCGATCATTTTAAACTTTGATTACATGAATCGAGTAAATGAAACGAATAATTTTATAATATTTCTTCGAGTGCAACCCTTAAAGAGACCTTTACGGCTAAATATAATGGCGTTTTGCCCAGAACACCAAAATCTGAAATTAACACCCCTAAGCGAGACGACGAGCATCCCCGCCCCTTCCATATGGGAGTCCCCCCCCCCCCCCCCCTGGGGATGAATGTAGTCACTCGGAGTCTTACTGTGACTGCTCCGCAAGAAGGGACCCCGAGAAAAAATGAAGAATAAAGAAAAAGTCTGCCCAAAATGTTTCGAAAAGGAAATTCTACAGATGCTTAATTGCGTCCCGGGTGTACACATAAACCAACCCACGAAGTGGCTCTTGTCTTCCCAGCGCATAAAATCAAGCTTTCATCACGGCACTTAAAGGTCGTCACTATGGTTTTTAAGTCATTTCCATCAACTCTGTGCAACGTGGTTCTCTTCATAATGGTGGATTTCCACTGTAGTGTTGGACCGCATATTTTACGCGCCTAAATAAAAAGAGGCTATGTAGGACTATGTATGAAATGTATGTACGTGTGACCTTTAATTTTAATAAACTGCTTCAAGACTTCAGAGGTCGTGCATCGTTTTTTGTGTGACCTTCCATATACATTTGTGAACTTACACAAAGGGAGTCACGGCAGAGGGAAGAAGACGGCAAACCTTGTGTGACAAGCGTGAAAACAATTCTGTTTGAAAACAATTTCCGCCAAACTTCACCTTACTTTTTGTAAAAGATCAAAACACAGTTGTATTGATTGAACATCAACACAAACACGCAGGTAATAGGCTTGTCACGTTTGTCACACACAAGCGTTTTGCCGTCCTCTTCTTTGCGTCGTCCTGTTGCGTAAGCTTACTAAACTCTGTTTTATATGAAGTAAGTGCGTTCGCTCGTGAAAATTACCCGACAGTGGAAATCCACCTTAAGATAGACGCTAGGTGCCAATGCCAGAGGTCTTCTTCTATACTAGATCAAGAGAGAGTTGACTACATTTCTATTCAGGTCCCTTAACTGAGTACTTGTGGTAGCACTACAGCCTCGCTAGCGTCCCCTTGCGAACCTGTACTCGCGCTTTCCGTAAATTTCAAGCCTGGACGAGTTCGCGCATTTAATATATATTAGTCGACATAAAACCTATTTATAAGACAACGTTATGTACTAACCATTGTTGGAGTAGAAAGTCCCTGCTGCAGAGTACGCTGAACAGTTCGTTTGAATGATAATTGTGTGTACGTTTGCGTTCTTGGAATAGTGCCTGAGAGGGGTTTAAGATTTCAAAGCTTCCGAGTCAGACGAGACGACATGAACAACTTCAAAGACAATCACCCTTTGTATGTAATGTCAACATCCCGGATTTGATATTATTTCAGTTATTTTCATCTACAGTATATATATTATTATTTGACTTCTTTAAAAAACTAAATTAAAGACAATAGGATTTTAAAAAAAAACATGCACCTCCGATAGAAAAATATGCGCGGGTAAAAAAAAGGCCCCGAGGGCTTTTACAGCAGCAGCAATTTGTAACTTTGAACAAAGGGAACAATGGGTTAAATGGGCATTTAAAATGCCAATTATGAATCCTTGGGGATGGTGGGCGGGGGTGGGGGGTGGTCGTGGGGGAAGACTTTTTAGAGGAAGTGCTTCCCAGCCCTTAATTTCCCACGAGATTGCGAGGATTCATGAAAGGCTTAGACTCGTATAAAAACTTTGAAGAACTTTAGGCAGGTCTAGCGATCGATGGCAGTCGTAAAGCAGTGAATGTCAGTGGGCAGTGTAACATCTCGCAATTTAATTAAAGATACGGTATGTACGTTTCTTAAGACATTAACATTCGACGTTTACCTTCTGAATTATTATTCGCCGTGTCAGCTGCAAGAATGACAATACTTAACATTTCAGGTAAAAAGATGTTAACTTTGATCTTATATATAAGAATTCATCGCATTCATTTACGATAATATGAACATCGACATTCCCATAAGTTTCCACTAAATTGATTTCAAACTGATTCGAAGGTCGAAGGTCCTGTGGTATTGTGAAAAGGGCAACAATTAAGCAACAACGTTTTTGAGCGACGCACGTTGCTTTTTTCATTTTTGACGGTAGTTTCCGTAAATTTTCAGTCAAATCGCCTCTATAACAGTAAAGAAGGGAATACAAATTTTATATCATCAAGGCATGTTTTACTTCCGGTTCTTGTCATTATTGTTTTTCTTGATTTTTTTCGCCGATTGGAGGCAACCTCGTCCCCAGGGCGCTTTTCCCTGGCAAAGCGCCCTAAGGACGAGGTTGGATTGGCGGATTGCTCCGATCCCTCTCTTGAGGAGGGAACTTTCAACTGAAAAATCTCTGGGACCAGAGTACTTTTGTGCACTGCTAATGTAAACCTAATCGATCTACAGGAAATCTGATCAGCAAAAACATATATCAAGTGGACATAAATCTGTTTATTAAAATCTGTTTTCAATCTGCTTGAACACTGGTTTTATGTTCACTTGGTATACCTGTTAGCCGTTGAGGGTGTTTCATGCAACGGGGCTCAGTAGATACAAAAAATGTTTTTTTTCTGTAATTCTGTTTCTCGTAACAAGCATCACACAATCTGACCAGCTTAGTTTGATTACTTAAAAAAGCGCCAAAATAAAAGCATTAAATACATTTAAAGGAAAAGAAAAAGGAAAAAGAAAAATTAAATTTAAGAAGTGCTCACAAGGATTAAGTCGACAAGTTTTACCAGTTTTAGCGGCATTCAGGGGCGGATCCACAAATCGACCAGAAAGAAAGGGGCCGGGCTGGGACCAGCTCTGATACAGATCAAAATTTCACAGAAAAAGGGGTGCATGGCCGCGGTCGTTACAGAACTGGATTTCAACAAGTTATTAGGGCTCTACATCAAGAGAGGTACCGGGGGCGGAAAGACTCCTGTGAATCATCTTGGTTGGCTTAACATGTGCTGCCCGGTTCTCCAGATCCTGACCCTATTCTGGAGCCGGCTCCTGCCCTATTTCAAACCAAAAAGTGTCATTTTTCACGCCCGTTTTCAGGCCAAGCCTCTAAAATCCTTCCCCTTTTAATTTTTTGAGACCTGGCCTTAAGGCAGAAATTGTGTCATCATTACTTGTCTAACTTAGATTAAAACGCAAACAAAAAAATTCTTTAAAAGCAGTCGAATTCGCATATTCCTCAGTTTCGTTCTTATTCATTTGGAATTGAAACGATAAATACAAAGCGGGGCAAAGTGTATACCCGTTTTCAGACGGCCAAAAAACCATACGCTTTGGGGTGGCACATACCTGTGGCTTACATAAGGGAGTACCCACCCCCCAGGAGAGATGTCTAGATCTATTAGGTCCCAATTTGGGGAAATTTTCCCTCCAAACAGCAAGAACTGAGCAGAAAGTTATTTTCGGGGTATGTTTTCCCCTAACCATTGCACGGGCACTTGGCAAGTCCACTAGAATGTCATGACACATTCCCGACAAGAAGATCAAATGCAACCCACTTCTCCCTATTTACAAAATCAAGAATAAAGCGACGCAGAGGCAGAAAAGCGCAACTTTCACATCCTTGATTTTTGGGGAGAGAATTAATTATTGCCTGATTCTCTCTCTATTTTGTTCCAATTTATTGTATTCGATTTACCCTTCACCAAAACGAACTGGACAAAACACAGGGGTGGAAGGGGATATGACTGATTGCGCACTTAAAGAACAGATGTCCAACTGGGTGGTCACGAGTCGAGTTCCCTGTGACGTTCTGTGCTTCTTTTATTTCAGAACTCTGAGATGTTTGTCGTGCTTTGACAGTGACAGAGTCAGGTACGATGAAGCTCTTGCTAGGTTTTCTCCTATACCTCTTTGTAGGTTTTTCAGCTGCAAAGCCATCCAACTACTCGCAGTGTATTGAAGATGCCAGCCAAACGCTGTACAGTTTTTCAACGAAGTACTTAAATGGAAGTTCAGTTTCGTTAAAACACTTCCAAGGACAAGTCACGCTGGTCCTCAATGTGGCGACATTTTGAGGGTTCGCTATCCAGTACCCTCACCTGAATGCACTCATGAAGAAATTCTCAGATGGAAAGTACAAATGTGGCTTCACTATCCTGGCGTTTCCTTGCAATCAATTCCATTACCAAGAACCGGGGGCCAATGCTCGAGAAATTATGAATGGTCTGAAGTACGTAAGACCTGGTGGTGGATTTGAGCCGAATTTTCCACTCTTCCAGAAAATACAAGTCAACGGTGCTCAGGAAGATCCCATTTACACGTTCGTAAAGGTAACTTTTAAATATATGAACGCTATTCGGCAGGATGACTGAGATTTTATCGGGAGAGAAGTGAATTGCGCGTATGGTTTTACTTGTTGTTACGTAATCAAATGAAAATCATATGAAATCATACGTTTCATATGAAAATGAACGAAGCAACTGAAACGTCAGAAGGCAAACGAAGTGAATATGGGTAATATGAAAAGCTAATATTTTGGCCTCGCGAACAGATTCAGACGCGCCTAATGTCATTTTCGTCGGTGCCCTCAATACATATATACAGAGCTAAAAGCTTCGGGAGTGTTCAGTCAGTCATAAAGTACTATAACATCTGAATGTTTCGTCACGGTAGTCGGTTTTCCTTCGAAGTAACTTGTTTCCACGTTCTTTGTATTAAAGCTTATTAAACGATCGGGCAAGGCGCGAGACGAGAAAAAAAAAAAAAAGAAAAAAGCAACAAAAAGAAATTGTTCCGTCCTTCGCGTCGGTCTTTAAAAGGTCAAAAAGCGTACGCTTGTCTTTTATACCGTAAATTCGCCATTAAGCCGCCCCTCTCAAATGACCCCACTCCCTCTAATAAGTCACTAATAAGCCCCCCCCCTCTCTCCTCCCCTAATTATTCTTCACTAATAAATATAGACTGTATAAATCAGTCACGACTGTAAAAATTCGTGTGGACTGATCCGGGATGGTTTATTTACCAAGTGAAGTTCGGATTTGACTCTCATCCTTGGCTGCATGACCTAAAACGTCTTGTTCTTAAGCGCATTTACTTTGTATTCTAGTTCTTTGTGGAAAACTGATACCACCATCGTTTCTAAATTAAATAAGCCCCCCGTCTCTATTAAGCCCCCGTCTCAAATGGGCTTGAAATAAATAAGCCCCCCAGAGGCCTAATAGAGGATTTACGGTATTGACCGTTCTTTGGACAAAACAGATCCGCCCTCATGCATGACAAACCTTATCATATTTCAGTGAAACCTCTATATAACGCCCAGGTATAACCAGTGACCTTTGCGCCCGTAAGAGTAAAATGAAGTCAAGAGCAGGAGCCGATTACCTCCTGTGAAGGTCGATGAAGTTGTTCAACCTCTTCGTCCCTATCAAAGCTCTATATGTCGGCGCCCTTAGGCTTTTCCTTTTCGCGAAAGCCTAGGACTGAGACCCTTCCACCACATTCTTGTCCCCAGCCAGAGCTGCGGTTCGTTTGGCCAGCAACAAGGGTTTAGAGCTCAGGCAAGTTCCAGGATCACGCGCAAGCGCAATAGCTTCAATCTTGTAATCGTTGGTAAGGTTATTGTTTGAGATTTCTGAGGCTCCGCTGCAAGACGGAAGTCCAAATCCATATTCACAAAGCTCTCAATCCGTGGCGCTGGCTAAAACGATCGCAGCTCTGGGGACGAGGATGCTTACACTTGCGTTCCATTTACTTTCAGTCTCGCTGTCCCCTCCCTGGTGGAATTGTTAGTCAAGCTGCTACCCAGATCCTTTGGGCACCAATCAAGAGTAATGACATCTCGTGGAACTTTGAGAAGATCCTGGTGAATCACAAGGGAAATCCTGTAAAGCGATATTTACCCAATACTGAACCGTTTGATCTGATCGACGACATTATCAGCCTCCTCCAGCAGTGTTAGAGAGTTCCGTTGCAAGAGTGGAAAGTCCATTAGCAACTTTTTATTCTACCTGTGCTAGGCTTGCTGTATCCGTTTTCGTTCGTGTTTGTAAAGTAAGACGTCAAACGTGAAAACGTTGGAGGATTGGGCTAGAAATAGGCTCGATTTCCGCCTTTCTCTCGGTCCTCCTCGCTAAGTCTGTTCGGGAGAGGAGCACGGGCTCATTTCCCGAACAGCGGCTGGTAATCAAGCTTAGGTGACAAACAGTTTGTCTTTGTCTTCCTTCTTTTTTGTCCCTCCGTCCATCGTTTTCCTGTTTGACCCCTGTTCAGCTTTTGCTCGGCTGTATCCCTTGCTTTTCGAAATTCATAATACATAAAATTGCATTGAGTCAGAGTGTAAGATATATAATTATTTGCTTTATTTTAATTTGTTCAGGCTATCCAATTTTATATTTCCAGAATATTAACTGGACTTTCTAACGTCCTTTGTTTGGCCAAATCCGAATATAAATGTTTTATAATTATTTCTAATTTTGTTAAGTTGGGTAGGAAGCACTGCATTTTTTCACTTCAAGGTTTCAACGACTCAAAAGCATGACAGACTGTTTGCAAACTGTTCATAACAGTGAAACGGTCTCGAAGAATGTTTCTCTCTGCTCAGCTTTCGTGCATTCAGCTGTAACGAGTAAAGAAGCCTTCATTGAGTTTGTACCTCGAAAACAATGCTACAATAAAGTGTTACGTACCACATATTTCTTTGTCGCATTATTCGACGGGTGACTTGAGATTTTCCACGATGGAAGCGAAAATAATGAATTCAAAGCGAAATATAACTTATCACGAGTTTTTGAGCATCTCATATCCAACGCGCACTCGTGGAGTAATTGTTAAATGTACACTACTTTGTAAAACACTTTAAACACTGCGGGAAACGGTGAAGAATCATGTTTGACTGTGCAAACACTGCCATGTACCACACAATTTGGCCACTACTTTTTATTTGCTTTTGCTGCTGATGCTGGCAAAATGTAGTTTGATTTTAATTTAATACATTATGTAACGAAGGGCTGCGACACTGCCACTTACTATAGGAGAGAGCGAGATACAATAATACAAAGAAGGATGATCAGTACAATCACTATAGTTGGTCCTCTCTCGCCGTGTCGGAGTTTTGAATGGGCTCGTAATAACGATCGTCGCTGTTCTCAGAGAGTGTGTGATGAAGCTCGATGGTGACGATATAAACAACAGCGCCCAGGACTCCTCCAAGCAGACAGGCTATGATTGGTACCCAGGCCCAGTGGTTAGCAACCCTAAACATAACGAAAACATGATTTCTATTTTCAAAGAGATAGGTGGCTTTCAGATACAAATCTGTCAGTGATTGCAATATAAAAAAAACCATAATCGCGTTCCCAGGACCGTTTCATTGTAGATTTGGAGGGGGGCGGGAGAGCGTTTACAGTTCACTGGAATCGTTATTTGAGGACTTATTCACTGGTGCTTATAGATACTGCTCTGTGTAAGTAATAGATTTTAGGAACAGAGTTTGCAGCAGATGCACGAGAGTGAGATAAAGACGATTGACGGCCGAGTTGTTCGAAGTCCAGTCAGCGATAATCCTCGATAAACTACATACAGATCATATGTGTTGTCAATGGTAACGAACCCAGGAATCGCGCTGGGCCCAGTAGTTCGAAGGCCGATTAGCGCTAACCCAGGGTTAAATTTTAATCCGGCTTTCTTTTTCTTTTGATCAACAGCATTTCCTCGGATAATGTTTTCTACTCTTTTTAGCATATCTATGAGCATCAAATTGTAGACGAAAAGAATTAAACTGAATTTGCTCTTTCAGCTTTTATATCTGAATTCAAATTTCTCACTAACCCTGGGTTATCTTAACCCAGCCTTGAACAAACCGGCCCTGGTTAACAAATCGACATAATTTTTATGGTCTATACTTGTTCAATACTCCAAGTTTTGAACATTTTTCGTACGTCATTTCTATCATGTTTCTATGGTCGATAAGAGCATATAGACCATGGAGAATCGGTGCCGATTTGTTTTTTACAAAACTATTGAACGTTTTTAACCTCTTTTCGGAAAATTGCGCGCGAGAGAAAGAGCAGAACAAATTGTACCATCATGACGTCATTTTCAAGGTCTGCACTCTTATCGACCATAGATCTCGACCAATCAGCTCGGTTGTATTGTAAAATAGCCCGCGTTCGAACTGAAATGAGCTGAAACTAAAGAACTGAGCGTGCATGATGAAGCATTTATCCTTAACGTTACTTTTGTAGTGACAACTTCAGTTTCAATACTTACGTAAATACATCACCACCCCATCCAGCCATCGCTGTAAAGATTCTTGGTCCCAGATCCCTAGCGGGATTGATAGCATAACCGCAGTTGAAGCCAAACGTAGCACCGATGACAAACACCACCAGTCCGATCATAACGGGAGCCACTCCCTGGTCAGGGGAATTGTTATTTCGATCGAGAATAGCTAAGATACAGCTGACAAGAAGAGCAGTGCCAAATAGCTGAAAGCACAAAAAAAAGGATGAGAACACAAATTAAATATAAGCCTTTTCTAGACAATTCCTAGCCCAAGTTTCAGAGACGTTATCTTAGTAAACCAGCGGACTCAACGAAATACCGGAAGTGCGTTTTGTATTTCCCTTCAACCTGATTGGCTAGACAGCAATGTCTTTTTCATAGGCCAATCATGGTGTACAATTAAATCCTCGTACACAGGTGGGATCCCAGCCAACAATGATTTCGGCGCTGGCTTGCTCACAGACTTAGCCAGAAGTTTAATTGCCTCTGTCGCGCAGACTAGACAATTCCGGGCAGGCAAAAAAGGAGGTGGACCCCGCAAAAAGAAAAAAACTAATATAACAGAACGAGTGGTTTCAATTTGTTAAATATCTATTATTGAACGATTGTATAAAGCTTCCATTCCAAAGAACTGGATTCATAGATTCGTCACTGTCATGTTCATCAGGAATTATAACTAGAGCAAATATTGTATCTCACAACGCTTTCAACCTCCAAACGAAGCTGGGCTTTAACTACTCTCAACTAGTGAAATTCAAAATGAAAGTACTACTAACCGTCTTTCAGCAGTTGACTAGAACTCTTATGAATTGGCTTCTGCAAAGCTTACATAATACTAACCTGATCAGCAAACCCATTTCCGGTGGATAAGAAGTCTTGAGGGTAGGTTGCCCATATCCCAGCGGTACCATTCACGCCCAAAATCTGTCGAACTCCACCGTCAAATGCGTTGAGAGCATCTGGAGGAAAAGATGGACTGGTTCATTTTACTACCAATTTTTTAAGTTAGAGAGCCAGGGTGATTTACGCTTCCTGTTTGGGTACTGACTAAAAGATACATTAGATATTTAAGTATTTTTTTAAAATCAAATTACATTTCAAGTGACTCCAAATTAAACGGACACCCTTTAGTAGCAAGGGGAAGAAAAGGTCCCGTGGGTGTCCACTGTCCACTGTCTAACAAAGTTCACCGTACTTGTTTCAGAGTTCGCATCCAGGAAAATGAGGGCCATAGAAATGTTCTGCAAGTAAGCATGCCAGAAATAAATACCAAAATATGAAGGGTCCTACCATAGTAAATTCCGTACACGACAGCAGACGCTAAGAATGCCCCAAACAACTGAGCGATGCAGTATACGGGAACTTTGATCCACTCCAAGCGTCGAACAAACGCAAACGCCAGTGTCACGGCAGGGTTCATATGCGCACCTAAACAGAAACGGAAAAATGAATGCTGAAATATGTTTTAAAAAATCATTGATAAGGGCAGAATACTACTATAAGCGAATTTCGTATAAGTACACAAAATTATTCCATTCACGAGCAAAGCCTCAAACATGACTATCGCGAACTACTTATTTATTTATTATTTATACAGAGTGATGAGTATAGCAAACAAGAGGACTTCCTTGCAGGAAATGGTTGGTTTTTCAAATTCAAAGTAGGACATGGTGAACACTTCTTCACCGCAAAAGTCACAAAAGGTTAAAGAGGGAGAACAATTTACTAAAAGAAAAAACTCCAATGAACAAATTGGGTTCTCATTAAGTTAGGGTTAAGGTACATTAAGTTAAGTTAACCAAAGATTAAATCATATCGGTGATACTGTCCTTAAACGAGGCAATTTCGGAACCCAAAACAATTCACACCCCTCCCCCTCCCCCTCCCCCTCCCCCTCCCGCCACTCAAAGCTGGGGTAATCGTTGTTTCGTAAAGGTAGCTCGAACAGTGGCACAACATTCAACATTGCATGGAAGGGGTGGGCAAAGAAAGCTTTATTTTCCCCTAATAAGTCGGCAAAAGCCCAGAAAAGCCCTTTCTGGGAAAGTGTATATCTCCCAATATTTTGTCCCCGATTGATAGCGTGTTAAAGTAGGTGGCTAGCCAATCGAATGCTGAATGCAATTTCAGGCGTTCACTCTCTCACCTTTTATCTTATACCCTTTTTGTCCCAAAAAGTAGGCGGCTCAAAATTCGAAGTAGCCAGGCTTTCTGGCTTATTGAGAACCCTAAAGATAACATAGTTTAGGAGGCTGGTGACCCGATCTTCATACAAGCCAGCTGGCCCATCAGGCCGGAGCTTATCATAATTTCCGTAGCACAAATTGGCGACTAAGAATATCCGCAATATTTCTACTCCTTCCTGGATGGGATGCTTCTGAGTCCAGCGCAGGGTTATCCCCAAGTAGTATGTCGCCGGTACGGGCCATTTATACACAAAGCGGAGAAAAGTTTCTTTTCTAGGAAGCAAGAAACCCATGTTGAATTAGAACTGAAAATACCTACCCGATATTCCGCCAGCCCAGTAACATCCAAGTGTAACTCCGATCCCCCAGCCGAAGTTGATAGAAAAGAACGTTCCAAACGCCCCCCGGCTAAGAACCTTCTGGGCTACTGAGCCGACGCCAAAAGACTGGGAGGAAAATAATAAAAAGTAGGTGCTTCTCACTTAGAAGAACAATAGATCAATCCAAATGAAATTGAAACGTTCATTATAGTGAGTACCATCCTCGGAGACCAAGGGGCAGATAGTGGGGGCGAGGGAAAGTCTAAACGGGCTGAAAAATATGGCACGAAGAAAAGCATTCTCGTCCCCAGAGCCCGTCGTTTCTTGGTCACGTGGTAGGGAAACGAGGGGTTCGCCACTGGTCTGTTACAAATTGAGCCGAGTGGCTCTGGGGACGAGAATGGAAGAAAAGTAAAGAACGGCGAGAAGAGCCCCTGGGGACAATGTCTTATCAGACCAGTTCCAAACGGTCGCCGCCGTTCTGCCTTCTGATTGGGCAGAAAAACACAAAAGTTTTCTGGCACCAATCAGAAGGCAGAACGGCGGCGACCGTTTGGAACTGGTCTGGTAAGTCATTGTCCCCAAGGGCTCTTCTCGTCGTTCTTTACTTTTCTTCGTGCCATATTTTTCCGCCCGTTTAGACTTTTCCTCGCCCCCATTATCTGCCCGTGGGTCTTCGAGGATGAGTGAGTACTAACCACCAAGATGAACGTAGCCATAACCTCTGCCAATGCCTCTCTCGCTAAGGGCGATAGTCGGCCTTGGAATCTGCTAGGCATTGTAGAACCTGACGATTTCAAACAAAAACGTAAGCCTGCATCTCCCATACTTGCTCAATCCTTAAAATGACAAATCAAAGTGGTGCAAACTTGGCGCATAAATTACAGTATGTTTTGAAACCTTTTTATATACGATGTATAGACGTTGTATGAGAAATTTAATATAGATTTCAAAAAATATGGTATAAATGTAAACCAAATCCTTAGGGCAAGTTAAGCAGTGCCGGATCAAGACCTTGAGATAAGGGGGGGGGGTCCGGTCATCCAGATCCTTAAAAAAGGGGGGGCCCGGTCTCGAAAAAAAATTTTTTCGGTACTTCGGGCCTCATTTTGGTGGAAAAAGGCCAGGGTTCTATTTCTGGTCAAGCCTGAATTTTGTCAGGTTCCTTTTTCAACCACTTTTAGGTCGTTCATTGATCATCATACTTTTGTATTTTTATCTGCAGTTCAAAAAATAAAAAAATCCATATATAAAATTTGTACATTGAATTTCTTATACAAAGTCTATAATCGCTCGTAATATGCAAAACAGTATCAAAACATGCGGTAATTTATGCACCGAGCTTGGGCCGCCTGTTGACAGAGGCCAGGGTCGAAAGTTACAAGTGATTAGACACTTCAGACACCTTTCATTTTTTATAAGGTGGGGCGGGGCCATGGTGGGTGGGATTTGAAGGGGGTCCATGACAAAAAAATGGCTTTAGAGGGGGGATCAGACGAAATGCATGGTGTATAAAATGAGTGGGTAGGGGTAACTACAAAAATACCAGTTTCAGCGCTGACGCACACCTACCAATTCCACGGTATGGCGTTAATCCGTCAGACGGGTATGCCATGATGATGAGCCCAAAGTGTAAGACTGCTGTTCATGGCTGCCACTACCCGCGTGATACGGTTGTACGCATGCGTAAGGTACTGGCCATACCGCTTTGTTGATAGTGTGATTCAGTGCTGATACAGTTAATGTAACCAAAAAAATGCTTTCTAAATCATGTTCAACGAGAAAGTGAAAAAGTTATAGTTTTAGGGCCTGTTTACGTGGAGGTGACGGACCCCAGTTAGGTGAGGTAACCCGCTTAGCTAGGGTAATCCGCCTGTCCATACATTCTCTTATTTTCGTTTACATGATATGTGGGGTGACTCGCCTCTTGCCCAGTCTGCCAGACCAGTTTATTTTTTACCCCACTTGAGCGGGTTATCACATCTACCTTGGGCCCCCAGAGGCCCTTACGGTCCCTACTGTGAACAGAGGGCACGGGACTGGGACGCAGAAACGTATTGAGGATTGTATTCCATGATCTAGCACTTATCGTTGATCAAACCGCTGCATGAACTCCATATCAGCTGGCAACTGGTAAAAAGTATTCCCTGATAGTATAAAATGAGAACAGGGGTAATAATTTCCATGAACTGACCGAGAAGGAACAAAGTCATCATTTACTTTTTTATTCTTTCATGTTTTGTGGTTCTGGGTGCGTCCGAACGTTCACGGGAAATAAGAGCTCTAAACACAGACTAAAAATAAAAGTGCAAAGAAAGCACTGTGGCACACGTATCAACTCCGTGGTATGGAAAAGGGTTAACTTAATACAGCACACATGGAGCAGTGGGCTCTTAGAGTAAATAAGTTTCCCAAAAACATTTCATCGTTTTTTACTGTTTTCCTTGCACAACACCTACTACCCACCCCAGGGGCCCCAACTCACATATTTTAATGACGGGGGGGTCCGACAGAGGTTCATATTTTATACCCAAAAAAATCCAACTTCAGAATTTGTCTACCCAAAAAAATCCCTACTTTTTTTAGCATACCCAAAAAAATCCCTCAGTGTTTTTGCATCAGCAAATTTTATTATTTATCTTCTGGAAAGCTAAAACATGCAAACTTCAACTTTGGTTTTGGTCAAAAACAAAACTATAAACTATAAAAATACAATATGCCAAAAAATCCCTCTGTTGTTTTCGCGACTCAAAAAAATCCCGGCGTCTTTCATAGACCCAAAAAAATTCCTTTTGGCCAAAATGTCAAACCCAAAAAAATCCGTCGAACCCCCCCGTCATTAAAATACGTGACTGGGGCCTCTGGGCTACCCACCTTTCACCTCGCTTTCTCCCATGACAAAAATGTTGATTGACTCAGGCCCGGTTCAAACGTCGAATTTCACATGTGCCGAACTTAACGCGAGAGTTAAATGCATGTGAAGTGCGACGTTTGAATCAATTAAATTCGACTGTTTAAATTAAATGTAACGTTTGCCGTATCTGCGACTGAAACAGTCGAAGATTCGACTTAGGTTCGACTTTTGATTCAAACGTCGCATTTCACATGTGCCGAACATAATAAATGAATTTTAGTAAATTATTATTATATTACAGGGAATATTGACAGCGAAGAGAGTTAAATTCGACAGAGTTCAGTGAGTTAAATTCGACGTTTGAATCAAATGCCGTACTTAACTATTTTAGTCGACTAAAATAGCAATTAAATTCGGCACATGTGAAATTCGACGTTTGAACTGGGCCTCAGCTAGTATATTGTAGATTGCATCTGGCATGTGCTTCCAAAATTAACTGCGCGCATTTCCTTTACCAAGAACTCTGGCTCTCGTTGTCGAAGCGAAAATTCGCTATTTTTACTTATTTGAATGATGTCTGGGCTCGTGTAAATCGCATCGTTTACTGCTAGACCGTGAGAATTAAGCATGTTGGGTAAATGAAGTAGACAAACATAACAGTCGCAACAATGAGATCTCAGATTTATCTGCTAAATAGCTTGTACTGCATGCAGTACAATAATGATACTTAAATAAAGTAAGTTGCCTTTTCCTGAATACTAATAGCCTGTTATTACTGATCCTTAAACTAACAACTAGCCCAAACTAGTTAAAATCGTACAGAAATTGATATGGTCAACGTAATTATCCTATGGCGGATTCAACTGTACACAACCTTTGCCTCTTTCTGCCGCTGTGACACGTAAAGAGCTGAATGGAATCTTGAAATGAACTGAAATGTGTAAGTGAAATATTTTACCTGATTTTTAACCAATGTTGGGTGGTTGATTCGTCTTTGGTTAAACGTGTTCTCTGCAAATCTAGCCTTCTACGCAGCCGTTTTTGTCTCGTCACGCAACGTTCCTCATGCGACTCATCAATTCAAGAAGTCGCGTGTCCAAGCGGGTACAAGCGGTCACGTCCCTCCCCTACAATTGGAGGACAACAATGACAGTTGTTGCTTCTTGATGTCTTCTTTTCTTTTGTTCGTTTGGTAAATAATATAAAACAAATACGTCACCTTAACACCTTAAGAGTTTCCTCTATAAAGAAAAGTGATTGTACCTTGCCGACAAGAAATAAAAAAAATTGACTTCGAAAAAAAAATGACACTCAGAGTGATGGATTTGACATTTACTGTAGAGGGTCCGCAAACGGCTATATTTTACGGTAATTTTTTGGCATTTTCCTAATAAGGAATTTATTGTCTATTTACTGAGTACATACAAGGCGATGTACGGAAGCCCCGCTTTGTTTCAACTTTTCAGTTCCTATGAAATAACAGTCAATAGGTGAAGTTTGGCAGAAATCTCACTGCAAGTTCAATTTCAGAGAAATGCCCTTTGTTTAGCCTGTCCACAGACGTTGTCCCAAGGAATGAACAACGGAGAATCAAACAGGCTGCAGGTCCTTTTTTTTTATTTGCTTATTTGTTTCACTTTGTTTGTTTGGAAAAGGTTCAGGGAAACCGGGGGAGGCTGCTAGGGGTTCAAGTCATGTTCACAACGAGGACCAAGCATTTTATTCAAACCTAATCATCTGAATGTCATGCCGTATATGCGCGTAATGTTGGCACATGAAATGCACGCGTCACTGGTGATCAGATCGAGTTCATACAACACGTCATGTCGGCCACATGGAAAAGCTGGACTGGACTCTGGACTGGATTGGACTAGAATCGGGACTGGACTGGACTGGGCTGGACCTGACTGGACTTTTTTTAGAGGGGGTAACCTTCTTGGGAGGGAGGAGTGGCTGTAGTATTTTTTCTAATCTGTAAAATGATCGCGTTTTCAACCTTTCGCCAAAAGGCTATATTTTTTCATTTGGGGGGGGGAGAAAGGGGGGTGGCATTATATAGACTTTACTTTGTTGGTTTTGTTTTGTCTGTCATTTTTAGTCTGGGTGGGGGGCTTAGATTGGTCGCTCTGTTTGACTCACGGCCGTCACGTTTCACTTGAAAGTTGAAGAAAATAGCAGGAGTGTATGTTACGTAATAAAAAAAAACATGACCTGTTTTTTGTAGACAACACCAGAGACGTCTAGGATGGAACGCTAATGCGATGCACGATCTTTATGATAGCCATCACAAAGTGCCCTCATGATTAAAAGTTCACCAAACTAAAGTACTTACAATGCAGTTAAATATGACGAAATATAGAAGGAAAAGACAACCCAGACATATGCGAAGTACTTAAAAAGAGCAATTTATTCCACTATTTCATGATAGTGAATATTTCTTGGGTACAAGATCCCTTTGATAACGAAGAGAACGCAATGGTAAACACCCACCCGGTTTTGAAACCACAGGTAATGAGTTCACATTTCACATTGCTTCAGTACGATTCGTTCGATGGTTTTCAACACGGCATAAAAGAAAATAACAATAAAATCCAACTATCTTCTTACTTAAAAAAGAAATATTCTTTCGCCCCATGTAAGGGAAGCCAAGACAGTCTTGGATTCTGGGTTCCGCACGTGGACTCCGGATTCCAGGTATTGGATTCCATCTTTGTTAGTGGGACTCTGATTCCGGATTCCAATCGTTAGTTAGCCTACGTCACAGACAAAACTCAACTCTGGTTAAGTCCGTCTGCAACGCAGCGCCGAAATCCTTGTTCTGGGACCCCAACTGTGTACCAGGTTTTGAGAACACACCATGATTGACCTGTTAACCAAAGGCATTGTAAATTTGTCAGTTAAGATGAAAGGAAATTTGAAACGCACTATCGGTAATTTGCTCAGTCCGCTGGGGGCCCAGGGCAAGGATATCGGCACAGCTTCGCAGACGTTACTAACCGGAGTTAAATTTCATTAGTAGGATCCCAGATTCTTTGAGCAGTATTCCGGACTCCAAAGCCCAGGATTCCAGATTTCCACAAGCAAAGATTACCCAGATTCCCTCACATGGGGCGAATTCTTAATTCACTAGCACGCCAGTTATGACAAAACTGGCTTTAAATAACATCAGCTTGGTTTTAATGTCTTGCGTATCCTCTTGGCCGGCCGCATGTAAGGATTGTCATTATTAAAAGATTCCGTGCTTAGCGCATTTGTGGGTAACGTTCCACTTGACTGTGATTCTCTAAGCGCTGAGTCTTGCTCTGGAAGTTCAACTTCATCGAGATCTCCAACCGCTGGCAAGTAAGGCAACACGGGTGACTCATTCACAAGTACTGAAGAAAAGCAAAAGAACGAGAACAAATTACTGAAAATAACTAGAATTGGTACTGCACGGACAGTTTTTTCTTTTTTAAATCCATAGGGCTTTATTGAGAACACATTTACATTTAACAAAATTGATACATAAGAAGGAAAAAGAAAAAGGGAGAGAGAAAGGAGAGTACATATAATTTTATAATTGCTATACATACAGTATTTATTATTGATATACACGTATATTAAATAGGGTATCACTCAGCTAGGGCCTAAAACCGAACCAAGAGCCTTTTTCGTCAAAGGAACAGAGAACAAAGTGGTGGTAGCGGGGACGAATTACTGAGAACGACTAGATAAGGCGTGAATTTAACTATTTATGCTTTTCTTCTCGCCAAAAGCAAGGTTTGAGTGGCACAGCATGGAGATCTACTACCATCTAACCCTACTACTACTCTTTGAAATAAAGTAGACTACATACTTATGCATAAAGCAACGCGTTCATACATTTGCAACCTTTTGTATTTACATTACTATTGTTTTTTTGTTGTTGTTGTTTTTTTTTTTTTATCACGGGCTTTGCAGACCGTAAAACACTCGTATCAAGCAATCTTCTTACTATATTAATCCCGATGAAACGTTAAAACACAATCAGGATTTTTAACACTGTTGATTTTCAAAAACAGTCGACCCTAAAAGTGTATTTTGACCTGAGTTGAACGTTCAAAGTGGAATGTCTGGTTTATCAGGAATCCTAAAAAACTTATTGAAGACTTTTACAGTTTAGAACCAAAAAGATCCGGTCAGAATTTACTTACATGGAAAAGACGGTGCATCTAATCCCTCGCAGATCCCAGAGCTGAGTTCCGCTGTCTTGGCTAAAAATCTGTGTAATCAAATAAAGTGTTATGTACGTGAAGCAATCAACTTATCGAAGAGCTAATTGAGAGAATTGTTAATAATAAGCAAAAAAACAGGGCCACAAGGAAACACCCTATTCCTCAGATAATTCCATACCTAGGGAAGGTTTAACAATTTGCAGAGAAAGACAGTTCCTTGAGCTTTAGGACCTTGAGTGCTGGTTTGGCCCCTGAGAACGCATCAGGGACCTTCATCTTTGTAAACAATTGGGTTAACCCTACTTACACCGGATAATCACAGCGACAGTATAAAGATACAGTGTTCATGTTCCGAGCTTAAGAGTCCTGTCTCAGATACACAATCCAGACATTTAAAAAGTACCCATTTCTACAGTGTTATTGTCAACCAAGCATTCTCTACGGAAATAAGAATTCCATACGCTAGTCTTAACTTAATGGATTACAAAATAAAACAACATAGTGAGAAAGGGAAATTGTCTCAAACCAGCTGTCAGACAGCAAAAAGTGCATGCACCAAGCTTACTCTTTATATAAGAATGACTACACTGTTGATCTTACTTGGATAATCCTTCCTCAATATCTTTTCTTTGTGAAGCATACTTCTCTCGAACAGCTTGGTATTCTTTACTAGACTGCCTGAAAGCCTGACACGAAAACAGTATTCAAAGGATGACCTTTATTTCAACTCAGTAAGAAAACATTTCGCAAACAAGTTGATAGTTAGACAGCCACCTTGTATGAATAAGCCAGAAAAGCAATCAGAATTTGATGTTTTGCCAAGTAATTATGACAACTATACAATTAATTTTATCCAAAATACGGTTAAGTAATAAATTCCACTAAATGCATCAGTAAAACAAAATGAATGGAAAATCCTCTTCAAGTACACCAGCAGCATCTGGGGCTGTGAAAAAGCTCAGTTGACATTTAGAGAAGGCAGTTGAGTTTGTTAGTGGCAGCTTTACCTGACCTACCCACCCACCCTACCCTCTGAACAAGCCAAGAACACTCTTGACCAAGTGAGGCTAGGAGCCGCCCTCTGAACCCATCACCCAAATTTCACTCAGCATTTTTCATTCTCTTCAGTTTTATTCAACCAAACAGGAGTGTATGTAAACATGCTTCACCCACCCATCCCTTTAAGATTTTAGTTGTCCATACTTGTTCATATTGGATTTCAGATTTAAGGTCATACAGAGTATTTCACATTCCTACATGTAAATTATTTTAAAAAGTTTCTTCTTTGTTTATAAAGATTTTATTGCTCCGGTCAGCTAGTCAGCTTGATATAGCTTGTAGTGATCTCAGTCACCAGCAGTCATAGAAGTTGACCACATACTCATCCCATCAGGGAAAAAACACAACTAAAACAATGGCAGTAACAAGTACAGTGTACTTAATGTTTTCAAGGAGGATGTAAGCAAACAATGACATATTTTATTCATCTTGAATGCAGTCCCTCAAATTATATTAAATAATTTAAGCTGTAAGAAAATTTGCCTACACCTGACAAGGTAAATGGGTTTGAAAGACCTCAAATTCATTCATTTTTATTAAAGATGTTTTCACTGCTGGCCGTCGTCGTCGGGGTTAAGTTCAAATAAAGTTACTTGACCTAACTTGACTTGATTCTACTCAAATTCATGTACAGTGTATATGCACCAGCATATTAACCATCATAATCTATTTAAATGTAAACCATTAGCTGTTTTCGAACTAGAGATGGATTATCCATCTCTTCAAAAACCATCAAAATTGATGGATAAAGAGATAGATAAGGTCAGATAGATTAACCATTCCATTTTCACATTAAGAAGAATTATCCATCTGATGCAAATTATCTAACAGATAACCTGTGTGAGACGGATGGTCCATCTCTAGTGTGAAAACAGCCATTTTGTACTAAAATTATTAAAACAACCTACCGGCGTTTTAATGTAAGAATGTGGGTCAGGAAGTGGTGGAAGATGTGCTGGAATATGAGCAGGGCGTGGCTGTCTGGTACCAGCTGCTAAAGACTTAGGTGTGGGTGCAACACGAGATTTTAAAGCTACAAAAAAAAGCACACAGAGATTTTGATATAATAATAACTTGAACAGATTGTTTAAGACCTAAAAGTGTTTAGGGTTTTTTCTCAGACACACTGTGGCCATTTCAAGTTAAATAATAACACAAAAATGGGACTTGAGAGCTTAATTCAGCCCAGCAATGTTTACTAGAGAATCTTAAGTACCTGACAGAGCAAGAGAAATGTGCCATTAACTGTATCATTACCATTGTCTACAGGTATAATTATGTTACAGGTCAAAATTAAATTCAGGGTAAAGTTTCTCAACCTAGGTTGATTCTCATTTTCCTTTCTCTTCTAAGCCCTAATTCCTGAATGACTTTGGTTAAAAAATATTAACCTAAACTAAATTTTGACCTGTAATTTATACTCTCATACACAATTCATGTAGCTCTCAGTCAATGAATGTGTCAAGATTTCTACAGCCACTGTAAATAGAGAAACTAATAACGACAGAAAGTAGAAAAGTTGCCTACTTTAGTGATGAGAATAGATAAAAAGGTGACATTTTCATTATTTTGCTTTACTAATTTAACGTCAAAAAGCTTTATCCTAAGATCTGCACGTTAGTACTACCCATTTGTAAATGCATCTCATTACTGCTCATGCTGTAGGCATTATAATGTGCTGCTCTTATTTTAAGTGATACTCACGATTGTTTAGATGAATCCGGTTAGAACGTTTTCCATAAGATGGTAAAGAATCAAGGTCGGCACCTGCATGTAAACAGTGACAATATTTTTTTTTCTTAACAAACAAAGGAATGCCAAGAAAACAGACTCAACTAACTACAAGTTCTCATAAACTGAAAGACACGTACACTGCAGGAACTTTCACCAACAGTTCCTGTTTGAAATTCAGAATACAGCTGTAGGTCAGTACCCAAGGAGGTTCTAAAACCTTCTGTCAAAAAAACTAAGGGTAAAAACTCTGGGTGCCAATTGTAACACACAGCTTCCATTTTTAAGTGTATCTACGGAATATTTGGCTTTTGAAATATTTTTAAGTACAGTAGCATACCTCAGCTTCCCCCTACCCTCCTGCAGACCCTGAACAACTTTTGTGACTCAGCAGACTGATGTCAGTATATAATAT